GAAAATCCTGTCTATACTCTCACCTGCTTTAATATTCAATTCTGAAAGTGCCACACAAATTCAGGTTGGAAAATGTACATTGTTATTGGACAGGTTAGGACATTAGCTTTGCTTTTGAAATCTGGAGGAGAATCTGACAAAATTTAAAGTAATAGTGGTAGTAGGCTAAATAAGCATTAATTTGGCTAGAATGTATCTAAATATAATTAGTGGGTGGAAAAATATGTGGTGTATAGTTTAACTCTGCCGTCCCAGGGAATCATAGAGTGAAGCAAGAACCTTCCCAATCCCTTAATGCTGCTCAGGATTTTCAGATTTGGGAGATTTCCTGGGATTTTCTCACCTGGTATAAATTTACTTTGCCTTATGTGGCTTAGCTTGTCCATGGATGATTTTAAATCAGGCGTGTTGACTGTTATGTTTTCTGCAAAGATGTTTTATTTTTATTTATGGCAACTAAAGAGCAGAAAGGAAGTTAAGGCACTGAGCTGGTTTTCAAAGCCAAAGCCCCTTTCATTATCAGCAAAGATGTGCTCGTGGTGCTGCTTACATCCTCTCATGGCAGGGCGGTGTCCTGTAATGTGCTTTAAATTACCTGAGACTTGGCTCTGCAATCTCTTTTGTTGTATTTTATTTCGGTTTTAAGGTTTGCTCTGTCAGGAATGGACATGGAGCAAAGGGACTACGACTCACGGACAGCCCTGCATGTGGCAGCTGCAGAAGGTACTGTCTCCTCACACAGCATTTGCTGTCTGTCTGTCTGTCTGCCTGTGTACTTTAGCACATCCTTGCTGTCTCTGTGCATACCAGCTTTTGTCTGTGCATAAATAGATATGTACAAGTACGTGTGCTCACAAAGCTGCTCTTCCTGCAGGACACGTGGATGTTGTTAAGTTTCTGCTGGAAGCGTGCAAAGTGAATCCTTTTCCCAAAGACAGGTGAGTGTTTTTATTGCTGGTTTGGAGGAAAGATGCTCCAGTAACACTTCCCTACTCCCTGTGAGGAGAGGTGCCTGTCAAATAAGAGTGGAATGTATTGAGCCAGGCTACTGAAGCGGGGGAATGGGATCCTACTGGTTCTCTGTAGGTTCTGCAGACTGAGCAGGAATGAAAAATGAACCACTAAACCCATTATTCCAAAGGTCGTGCTCAGCTTAATGAAGTTCCAGTGAAGTTCCACAGTTACTGAACTGAGTGGGGTCTGTGTGCTGAGCCATTAGTGCAGTACATAAAGAACTGGATTTGTGGTGCTTTTTGGCTCTGTGCTTAACGTGCTGGTCTTAAAAATCCTGTGCTGCTTTTTGTAGGTGGAATAACACTCCTATGGATGAAGCTTTACATTTTGGACACCATGATGTTTTTAAAATTCTTCAGGAATATCAGACCCAATACACGCCATCCGAGGATAACAACGATGGGAAGGAGAACCGAACGGTTCATAAAAATCTGGATGGCTTGCTATAATCATCTTCAGCTAGATCCTAAGAATCAAATCACTTACCTATTTAATTGTGGTATGCATAAGTAATGAAGAGCGTGTGTGTTTCTATCTGATAGTGGTATATATTTTACAGAAGTCTCTGTTACTTCAGTGTTACGTTACAGGAGTTTCTATACGCACAGGACAAATCCAATCTCTTCAAAAGAAACAAAACCAACTAAGAATCTCCCTCCATAATGTGAGCAATATTACCTCATGCTGCATATAATTGATGTATAAAAATATTTAGCTGTTGTTGGCTTTACTGTGCACTACTTAATTTATTTTTGCGTTCTGTGTGAACTCTAGTCCGTGGTCAGGAACTTTTTTGCTGAATTTTTGTTTCTTTAGCCCTCTGTTTCCAGTATGGCCAGGATGAGCCAGAGTACTGTCAGGTATGAGCGTCAGTGAGGTTTTTTGGAAGCTGAGGATGCTGATGTAGATTTAGGCTGGGTGTGTTAAGTAAGGATCTGCACTTATCTTTGGGAAAAAATAGAAAAAAAAGAATTCCACACAACCTTGTTTACATAATATAAATATCACAGAGTATATAGGTGACACTTGTCAGTGGTCTAGGCTTGTTCTTAGAGATAGTCTTGTCAGGGAATGTGTTTTGAGGTTTGTTTGACCAAATGGCGTAGGGGAGTGTGCCGTGTAGCTCCGGTGTGCAGCGGGATTTTTGTCTTGGGAGCGTTTCTCTCCGTTCCCTCTGTCTTGCCTCCCTCCTCTCTCTCCATGTTCAGCTGCTAAAGTACTTCCCTGTGGCCGGGGAACGCGGGTGCTTCCGCTCCGTGCAGGTGTTCCTTGCAGGTGTATTTGCACTACCCCTGGGGGGCCTGCCAGCTGCTGCTCCTTCCTGCTGGCTGCACCAGGAGCCAGCCAGGGCAATGGAAGTGCTTGAAAGGCAAAGAACCAAACCAAATGCAGTCTGAGCTCGTTTAGGCTGTGGTAAGGAACACGGATGGAGCGAAACAGCTTTAAGGAGCATAGAGCCAATCACAACAGGAGCAGAGCAGGAGATAAGCCAGGTTTTGGGCTATGTTCTCTTCTTGCACTGCCATCAACCAGGGAGCAGGATAATGCATCACTGGGATTCCCCTGGTGTAGGACAGGAGTTCAGCACCAGGAACACGAGTGAGGAAATGCCTTTTGTGGTGAATGGTGGCATTCATTGTCTTGCCGCTGAAGCCAGCATGGCACGTGCCCTGTCATGGAAAATGTAGATGCAGGTATTTGTAGTTCACAGAAGTCCCATATTGCCACAGCTCCCTGTCCCATGTACAATTGCTTGTGCCAGTAGTGTGGCACAAAACCTCAGAAGTGAGCAGTCACTTCAGATACTCACAACACACTACAGTTGTTGGATGTAGGCAAGGATTTTAGCACAAGAGTTTTAGGCAGGAATCATTTAGCACATGGAAAAGGAGATTGTGCTTGAGAATTGTGTATATGGTGGTTTTTATCCTAGCATGTAGTGTACAAGTCATTAGTAGATCTCAGAGTTCAAATTTTCTGTGTTTTGGCACCAAAATCTCCTGAAATAATGCCCAAATTCTTCCTAGAATGCCCAAGCACTTTATAAAGATGATCTGAACCACATTACCCTCCTTTAGCAATGAGTACGCTAAGGCTTGGAGAGGAGGAACTTCTCCAGAGCGACCCAGCAGGTCAGTATAGTTGAGAATAAATCCTTTCAAGATCCTGTACAGTCTCTTGTCAAAATGCCATACTGCCTCCCTGCAGGGAGGACAAGCCACATGGAAAAGTGCTTGGTACTCATCACAAGCAGTGACTGTCTTCATCATGAAAGAGTCTGAAAGTCTAAAGCCCTCCAATAGCATCTCGAAGCTGGCTGGCATGGTTATCAAACACTTTTTCTTATGAATCCTCCTGTTCTTAAGCTGGTTTGGTTTGGTTTTTGTTTTTTGTTTTGTTTTTTGTTCTTCTGAAGATCAGCTATTTTTCTGAAGGCTTTTAACCCATTCTCTTCACATCCTGTGTGATGGCCACCCCCGTTGTAAACAAGAACTAAATTAAATGGCCTCTGGCTCTTGAGCTGCATCAGTCACTGGGTAGCACAAGGCAACAGATTTATGAGCTTCAGTGTAAAGGAATGTTTTCAGATGGATCCTAGTTTAAAATGATGGATTTCAGTGCTAATCTTCCCTATTTTGCCCCTATTACAACACATTCTGTAGCTTCTCAGAAAAATACCTGATTCAGCTTTATTTAACTGACATTGCATTGTTCAAACTGGCATTTTTAAACACAGGTATATTATATAGTAGACATGATATAAGCAAACCAAAACCAAAAGGATTGTAACTGAGCTAACAGTGAAGATCATAGCTGTTCCTAAACTTAATGCTTTCATACCGAGTGCTTTTAGCCAGTCCTAGCTTCAGTGCATTTTTGCTGGTTAGTTTTAGTATTTTCTCATTGTGAGGAGAATGGATTATTTTGTAATGTCCAATTCAGCGATGCAGCTACTTAGACATGGCGTTATTTATAAATATAAATATAAATATATGCAGTACATTGGTTTGGCTGTTTATCATTCATGACACTGACATGTAGATTTTACAGTAAATGGCTTTTGGTTATCTTATCCAGCGCTGACTTCCTTCTGCTCCAAAGAAGATTCCCCCCACTCCTTTGTTTTTATGTCATATATGTTTCTTCTGTATCACAACCTAAATTCGTTCAGCTAACTTAATGCTTTGTACTCAGAAATATTGTGGTAGTCTTAGCATTAATTAGCCTTTGTGAACAAACTGTATTGTACCAGATTTTTTTTTTTGCTTCAGAGCTGGACTATCCGTGACTATACTTACTGGCAGTGTGCTTCTGGTCATTGTAACTGACTGGGCTGATCTTGACTTTTAGATTCTGTATTGTGGGGACTAGACAGTGATGAATGTATTTCTAGCAGTTTCCCATGAATGAATCTAAACTTGAGCTGTACTGGTTCTGAAAATGAAAGTTATTTATTTTAAGAAATAAAATCCAGATAGTGTTGCTTTTTACAGCATAATAAATGGAAATATCAAGATGCTGGTGGTGCTGGTGGCTTTTGTTGGTTATCTGTGGGGCTGCCATTGAAATAAGTCTTCAGTGGTGGGAAGGCTGTCCTGGAAAACCTGCTCTGGTCATTTCCATTGTGCAAAGCATACAGGAAATCAGAATGAATTTCTGTAGTGTTTTTCTGATTTTTTTGGTGTTTATTTTGAAACCTACACTTCCAGAGCTGTGCCCTTTCACCGGTGGTTGCTTTTTGTTAATGCTGGAATTCTGGCCAGGTACTCTGAACAGGTCTGGCTTTCTCTTGACTTACTCTGCTATCCTTCCTCACACCAACAGTTCCCTTTGTTATTGCTCTGGCTGTCCAGTTCCTACAAAAGCCTGACAAGTGTGAGCTGAGAGATTTTGTCACTTACTGGCCCCAGAGAAAAGCAGCAGTGGTCCAGCCTGGTAACTCATAAAGATGAGCCATGGATCAGTTATCCTATTGAGGACTCCAATTAGAAATTCAAGTTCAGTTTATTGAAGGTTGTGTGGGGATGGAAACAAATGAATGAAGTGATACAAGCAGTAATTAAAAAAAGGTAATAGCCACCTTCTAAGAACTCCAGTGCAGACAGACCTGCAACAATACAGAGAATTAAAAGCATCAATACTGCCTCAGGCTTCAGAGCTGTAACGCTTTAGTTACACAAACAAGTTTAAAATGAGATACAGAGTAGTAAAATACTGTCTGGCACATGCACTTTATAACAGAAGTAGCCAAAACACGAGAGAGAGAACAAACGTGGCAACTGACAGTTCCTTTTATTTAAAATGTATAAAAGAATATTCCATTGAAGAAAAGTCACTGCTTCTAGAACTATTGGCTGTGGAAAGACCAAGTTGTGAATAAGGCCACTGCTTTAAGTCCCACAAAACTGAAGAATAAAATGACTTGTAGAACATGAATACAAAGCATAGCTCAAAAAACAACTTGATTTTTGCATTAGCAACAGATACACAGTAAGATAAAAGCATTAAGTCATTTCCTGTAGCACTGTTAATCTCAGTAACCCAGGACACCAAAAATAAGTCAGTTTGCAATGCTTTCACTTAAATACATGTGTTACATGCTCTAGGTCCTTTAATTTTTCTGTGCAGCTCTTTCAGGGGGCAATCAGATGTCTTGGCACAACACACCAAACTGAAGCAGTCCTTTTTTCCCCAGACAGCAGCTGATGGGTCTGGAGGGGCCTCTGGAGGTCTCCTTGTCCCACCCCCTGCTCAGGCAGGGCCCCTGCAGTGTTCCTGTGCCTGGACAGATGGGGTGCAGCACGAGGGCTCTGCTCAGCTCCCTGCTAATTAGCAGCCTGCACTAATAGGTACCCTCAGAGGAGAGCAGCTGCCTGAACAGCCTTGCCTCTTAACAACTTCTTCACTTTCCTGTGCCTAATTACAAAACCACTTCATTATCAAAACCTGTAAAGTATTTTAGCTATTCAAATTAACAGTTAAATAAATGCCCTGGTTCATAATGCATGAGAAAAGTGGATTCCATTCCACCTGTTACAACCTACATTATTCTGTATTATTGCAAAAGATAGGGGTGACCAGATCCTCACCTTGGCAGATTAGGCACAGTAAATAAAAACAGACCAATCCCTTTTGCAGTCTTCTAAGAGGAGGTTCTGATTTTGTCTGATGACTGCAGTCTGCAGAGGCTTTAGTCTTGATTATACACCTTGGGTTCCAAGCTCAGCATGTGCCAGTGCAGCTTGAAAGTGGTGTCCTACGAAATGCTTTTTTTGAGAAAGATTGTGCTAAACATCCTACACAAGATTATGCCTTGTGAAAATTGTGAAAATGAAATGCAGGTCAAGGCTTGGGCTTCTGCTCTCTCCATGGGCCATGCCCAGAAGAGCTAAAAGCCCAACAACCTTCAGCAGCACGTGGATTTGGTGTGGCATGGTGTCTGTGGAGTGCTTCCCTTTTGTGATGCAGACAAAAATTCAAGGTGTAAGCTTTCTGAACAGAACCTCTGCAAAAGAACCAGCTTTTCTTTGAAGCCTTCTACGTACAGTTAACTGTTTTAAACATTTAACTAATTCCTTCAAACAATGAATGCATGTTTCTGCCATCACTGTCGTTGAGGAGCTCACATTCTCACCTTCCTCTTCCTCCACTCTGGCGCGGTATCTTGCTAATTAAACAAAGATGTGCAGGGTATCTTGCTAATTAAACAAAGATATGCAGGTAAGGAGGCTGCTCAGGCTGCTGCTGTTGATATTCCCATCAGCTAAAACTGCTGCAGGACGTTCAGGCTGAGAACCCAAAGAAGTGAAGCGCTGTCACCAAGGCACTGGCTGCAGCACAGGAGGCGTGAAGCGGATCGGCCGTGCTAACGGCGCAGGGAAAGCGCAGCCAAAGCTCAGAGCTGGATATGTGTACACATCTGCAAGGAGAAAAGGAAACCTCCATTACACAGGCCCAGCCCTGCTTCTCAAGGCCTTGCTAACCACAGAGCATGACCATGCTCTGCCCCAGTCACACCAGGATTCAGCTGCTCGGGGTGGGGAGGTGGGGATCACTTTAATTTGTTTCTTTTTCTGAAGCACACCGTGCAGGACAGCACTGCTCTGTTAATGGCAGTACCTCGCCAGCCCTGGCAGGGCAGCACTTCCAAAGTGCACTCCTGCTGGGGCCCTCCCCACACAGAGCCCACCAGAGGCACTACAGGGATACTCCTTCCTCCCCTGCCATCTTTCCTCCACCTGCAAGGCACATGCAGGAAGCTTTGCTCTCGTGTTCTTCACCCTTCTTCCTGCAGACACGTTTGAAAAACAACTGCTGGCAATTCCAGTCTAACTCTGGATCCCCAGCTTTTCCTATGCTTGTGAAGAGACATGTTCTCAAGTGTTTGCTTAAGTATCTGAGGTATGTCTCAGATAAGGGGGTAAAAAAAGGGAAAGGCAAGTTGTGGCTGAACCCTCGGGCTCCAGGCTGGCTCCTGGTACGTACCACAGTATCGATCTCAGCGGGGTCCACCATCCGAGACACCTCATCGAACTCCTCGGGAGACATGGGCAGCAGGTTTTCTGGGGACTGCAGCCTGGAAGGGTGGCTGATGGAGAAGAGCAGGGATTAACTGTCACCAAAGAAATGAGGCACAGCTGGGCTACCCTGTCCAGCTCCAAGGCCTGAAGGGCCACTCACCAGGCCTCTTGTGAGGAAGAGCAGGCTTTGCAAAGCCAGCCTGGCTTTAAATGAAAACTCAGACTACTCAGGGGTGCACATCCTAACCAAAGAAGTCCAGCAAGTCTTTGAGAACGTGCTTTTCAAGAAATTATTTGCCTGTACAACTCCCTGCAAGTTTCTAGGGTTTTTTTGCCTAAAAATGGTGTTCTGAACACAGCAGCGCATTAATGTGTTGTGATCAGATTCTCAAAGAGGAAAGACTTCACAGGGGCACCTACAGCTTAAACAGTATGAAGAGACATGAACTACAACTAAAATCTTATGATCAGTTCTTAAAAATCCAGAATTTTTGTGAGAACTTACACTTCAGATACAGAGATTAACTCAGTCTTGATGTAGCCGGTTCCCTTGGGACCATCCAAATCCATTGGCTCTGGTGCTTCAAGGAGAGAAGAAAAGCTTGTGTTTTTTCTTTTTTTTCAGCAGGTTTAAGTCATATTTTCACCTTTATTGTACCAAAAATACAGCCTATGACCCAGATAACGTGCAAGTCTCTCTGTCATGCATTTTACAGCACTATGGTTAATTTATTCCATTTTTAGTTACTTTTCCTGTTCTCCTATAGAAAATGGCAAAGAAACCCCTCCCATAACCAGTCACTGTCGGGGCTGTTAGTGGGAGCCTACATTTCTGGAACAGCTCATGTGACAGAAGAGCTAGAGGGCCAGTGACAATCAGGGGTTTCAGTTTTTGGTCTCATGTTGTGCCTGTTTAAAAACAAACCCTTTCTTAACCTATAAACACGGGACGGGCTGCCAAGGCATTCAGGCCAACTGCTCCCTTTCTTTCCATGCCACGGAAATTGTGCAGTGCCCCAGCAGCTGAGGAGCAAGCAGACAAGCTCCAAGGCACGAGCCCCACACAGCACTCACCCTCCTTAGGCCTGGAGTAGTATTTGCCAAAGGCATTGTCCTTGGGGATGTTGGGGTACAGGAATCGCAGTGGGTTCTCAGGGATGTTCTCGGCTGCCATCACTTTGTAATTGCGGATGATGTCGGGGAAGGTCACGGCAGAGAGCTCCTTCTTGGTGTAGGGCTCTACCGAGTGGAACTGTGGCTCTGCAGAGGAGAGAAGCAGCAGTTCTTAAAGCTGGCTATAAAGGTTTTTTTCTGAAAGTGTCCAGAAAATCTGCAGCCACTTCCAACAAATTCAGAGTTCACGTGAGCAAAAGCCTTGCCTGGAGGACACCGACAGTGCTGCAGGAAGTATTTAATGGCTGCAAAGGGAGCACAATTGTTCTGTGGGGCAGGGAGGCATGGAGGGGAGCACACAGTGATGGCTCTTGGAGTGGTTTGTATTCACAATGACCGGTGTGACTTGTCCATGGAAATTAACTGCACTATTTCATTAAGTAATTTAGGTTGCGCTGCCTTTTTAACCTTCTTCCAAATTATGTAATTCAAACTCTGCTGCCTATTAGGGAGTTTGATCCAAATACACCACTTGAGGCTTTTATGAATCATCCGGAGAGACATAAAATCCTTCCTGAATGCTGCAAATACTGTCAACCTTCTTTTAACTTTTGGATGTCTCAGGTATGAAGGCAGCCAAGAGAAAGAAGTCACCCAAGTACTCAGCAGTTTCTCTTCCACCTGCTGCTGGTTTTGGGCTCATCAAAGTGAAGTGTCAACAGCTGCCCCACGCTGGCAGCTGGGGCTGTGTATTGAGTGTGATAAGGGGAGAGCTCTGCTGGGTACAAGGGAGGTTTTAACTTCCTGTAGCTGAGATGCCTTCAGGATTCCTTAAGGGAGGAGGATGAGAAACTAGTGCAGCTCACTGAAGAGGTAAGCTCTTCCTTGATCCTGATCCATTTGGACAAGGGGAGGAAGGAGAACTACTTGGAAAATGAAGTGAATATGTAATTTATCTAGGGGGCATGTGGGAAGGAACAAACCAAAGCTGCCTTTGGGCTTGGAAGGAGATGCAATTGTGTGTGTACTAAAGGCTGGGAGAGAGCCTAAGGAGGCAGGGAAGGCAGTCTGGGCAGTTTTTACTTTCCAACTTCCAGGACAGAAGCAGGACCTGTGAAGTGCTACTTGTCCTAGCTGAAACCTTGATCAACTGATTGTGTGGTTTGAGTTACCCCAAGTATGGTGTGTCCCTGCTACTCCTTGTGCCCTGCTGCTGCCAGGGGTGTTGTGCTGCTCCTCAGGGTGGAGGAGAAGGGCCCAAAGACTTCTTGTTCTGATGCAAGCAGATCAGCAAAGGTTCTCTGCTGCTGACTTACCATTCTGAGATTCCTCTACCCAGGTAAAGGTGATTGCTCCCTCCCTGCTGCTTTCACTGAACCTCAATAAAAATGTTCCTGGGCTCTGGTCCTTCAGCAGAGCACGTTCCTTCTCTTTGCTGATGAAGCCCATAATGCAGCTGTAATGTTGAAAAGAAAGAGCTGAATTACTCCCCAACATAAAAACCAAGCTGTGCTGTGCTAGCTAGGAGAACTAAAAAGCTTTCCTTCACTAAAAGAGCTGCAGTACTGGTGAAAGCCTCACAGAAGGCTTTGTCCTGTGAACAGCTGGCAGCAGGACTGCCTGGCTGCAGTCAGGTGGTGATTCACGCCTCGTGGCAGCTGTGAATCACCACAGCTTCCCGCAGCACTCTCACTTCGGCCTGGGGGCTTACACAAACATCTTTCTGAACTTGGAACAAAAATGATTGTCCATTTTGCTGCCAAAGCTGCGCTGTGGGAGCAGAAGTGATGTCACAGGTGTGTAACAGGGTCAGGTCCCAGCTAGCAGCCAGTCTTGGGTTCAAAAGTATGCTAAAGGATAATTGTTTCTCCTTTTTGGCTGATGAAACAAGCTTTGCTGGCTACCAGATTACGCTCTCACAGGTGTGGGGTTTGCTTTGGGCCTTGAGCCTGTTTTCTACAGGAACTGTTAAACTTTTGTGACTTATTCACTGTGCTCAGCAAATGTTATTGCATGGACAAGGAGGCTGGGTGGTAACTGTAAGAGACTGATTGATTGATCTGGACAGGGACTGGGGAGGGATTGTTCAAGTCAGCACCAGGGTATGACCCTGGCCAAGCCCCAGCTATTTGGTTTTGGTTGGTTTATTGCTTGGTATTTTGCCTTTCTTGGCTGGTTTTTCCCCCCCCAAAGGTTTTCCCTGTTTCTTATTCATCAAAATACTCCATCAATAATGATCTTTTGAGTACTATAACTGTCCTCAAGTGCATTAAGTTAGGGAAAGTGAGTTTTGCACATAAAACCCCTAAACAACCATAATTTTGCTTAGAGTTTCAGATGCAGTAAGTTGCCCTGTTTTATGGGGTTTGGGGGTTTGATTGGTGAGCGTTGTGTTTTGTTTGGTTTAAATGCCATGATTTAGGTAACAAATGTGTTCAGTAGTCAATATCCTGTGTGTAAGGGAAGTATTTTGCCTTCCTACTTCTCAAGTATGAAGAGAGGCAAGTGTTCCTGAGGTTGTATTATTTACTCTTTTGTATCCAAGGGGAGTCTCTGCTATCAAGTCTGTACCAAATCCACATGTAATCCCAATCCCAGAACTACCACTCTTCTTCAGTAATGGTTACAAATATTCCCACTGCACTGCAGCAAAGAAGGGGGGGGAGATTTGGGGAAGGGAAACAACAAGGCTTGTACTGCACAGGGCTTTGACAGAACTCTTCTGGAGCTGGGGGGTAAAAATGTGAAGCCCACTGCTGAATGCAGCAAGGCAAAGCAATCCTGCTGCTGTAGATCCTGCAGAAGTGTGAGATACCAGGATGCTCCACTGTGAGTGTGCTGTTTGATGAGGTTTCATAATGTGGCTAAAGCTAAAACACAGGATTGTGACTTTGGATAAGCCTAGTTTGGGCTGAATTACATCCGAAATCGGAAATCCCAGAATGAAAAGTTTACTAAACCAGTATTAAAGGGCAAATGGAGCTGTGTTCCCATCTGGCAGAGTCCTTCTACTCGGTAATACTCTTAAAAAATCAGTGAAGGCTGCCGGGTTCTGGGCACACGGGGCAGGCACAGGCATTCCGAGTCTGGCTGCTGCCACCTCCAGGCAGCTCACAGTAACTCTCTTCGGGCAGGGAGTTCGGGTTTTGGGTTTTTAAAATGGATATATCACATACTTCCTTGTGCTTCAGTTTTTCTTGGCTATGTTCTAGGACGTGGAAAGAACCGACTTACAGTGGGAGCAGAGGCAAAAAAAAAAAAATCTAACTTGACATTCAAAGCCCTGCTCTGTGACTTAAATGGGACAACCTGGTGTTCTTGTTTTTAGCAGTTACCTCATCAGAGGATTCCTCACTACTAGAATTCATTTGCTTCAGATTTTTCTGAAGATTTTCAAGATCCACCCTCTGTACCCTGAGGGTGCAATTGCCAGCCTAAAAGTGAAGTCTGAGGCAACGACCACATCTTTAAATTCACTAAGGTCTTACCCATCATTCCAGAGACACAGGAGATGTTTCTTAATAAGCTCCAGGATTCCCTCAATCCACAGCCAAAAGGGGAAATTTTTATCATTTATATTTTCCTGAAATTCAGAATATGGAAAGGCAGGGATGGGAGAGGGGAGAGAACAAGGACAGTGAGACATGAGTAAAAATGCCTGTCTGAGCCTCCAGTACTGACAAATATGTGATCCATCACCTCTCACATGCAACAACACTGGTCTAAGAGCAGATAGATAAAAGGCTTTTGTGCCAATAGGAATAGCCTGGTGCTATCCCTATTGGAGTTGTAGGACATTCTAACCCATGCCACGGGGGTTTTTAACTGGGCTGGCTAGCAGAAGACCTTAGAGACACTTTCTGTTGAGACCTGGATCTCAATGTCTCATGAGGGTTCTGTATCAATGAATTAGAGTGCTTGTAGGGCACTTGTAGCCTTGCTCTTCCCCTGGAGTCTACTCCTGGCTGTGATCTCCTACTTCTCTATACCAGCTTAGGGTCTAAAGCTGAAAAAAATGTGAAGAGTCCTCCTGTCTTTCTTCAGCTAGGGCTGTGAAATTCCATGATGTGGCTTTCTGTCATCATACTGACCCTCTTGGCCACCCTGAGTTAATCTTCACCCTGATCCAGTTTCCCATGGTCTGGGGAATGTCCTTCACTAAGATAGAGAAGAATTGTTCATCTTGCTGTTTTTTGTTTACATTTTCTGTAATAGTCAAAAGGAGAGCTATTCTATTAATAGCAGCTGCATTAATAATAATGGAGGTGCTGAGTTTGAAAGATAGATTTATTTTTTTTTTCCCCTATGGAGTTTACATGGATCAAAACCAGCCTCAAAATCTACTCCTTGCCATTGCAAGCTCTTTTTCTTCCTGCTGCTACTTTAACCTCACCACCAAAGCCTCCCATGACCATGTAAGGTCTAGAATAATAAGGGGATGCTACTAGAAAAGTAGGCACCTTGGGGGGGGGGAACAAACAAAAAAAGCCCAAACAAAACCCACAATAAAGTAAGATGAGATCCCTCTTCCATCACAGTTTTTAAAACTGTGTGCATACCTTGCAGAATCTTGTCCAAGGAATAAGGCCCTCCTGAGATCCTCCATTTGTTGGCCCTGAACACAATAAATTTGACTTCAGTCATGTTGCACGAGTTGCTTAGTAAGGCTGAAAGTACTTAGAAAACCAAGTTCTGAGTGTTTATTTGGAAGGCAGCTGTTGGACTAAGAAAGAAAAGGAAGGGCAGGCTGCTGTGCTTCCACAGCTACTGCAGAGGAGGTTGCCAAGTCCCCCTCTGGGAGGTTTTACAGTACCCCAAACGTGTGTGAGCAGCCCTTGTGTAATGGGAACCAATCCATCCTGACGCTTTCTATGCTGTGCTGCACCTAACACTTGCCAGCTTCAAAATGCTTCCAGGAAGGAAACTGAATCCTTGCACAGTTCTTGCCAGCACAGCAAGAAGACTGCAGCCTACAAGCTCCTCTGCAGGCTCAGCAGACCCTGCAGCATCTCTCTAAGATTAAGCACTTTCCTACCTTGATTCTGGTGATTTTCAGGCTGGTGCCCCAGAAACTCTTGACTCCTAAGTCTACCCCCAGCACAGACTCATCTTATTCCTGTTGCAATTGTCTCCCTCAGCCTTGTTTGTATGTCTACAGTGTTTCATAACCATCTTCAAGCCACAAAGAAAAGTCCTATGCTGGGTCTACAGTAGCTGGGAGCTTTGCAGACAATGACTGTAGTCAGAGCCAGATTCTTCCAATTAAAGATCATGCTATGGCTTCCCATAAATATGCTCTTCTCTGTCATTTTTCTATAAATAAATTGGGTCAGGGAGCTTGTTGCTGGTACTGCTGGTGTTAAGAGATCAAGATTCTGTCAACTTTCCATTGCAAAAGCAGCAGCCAGGTTGTGCCCTGGCACCCTGCTGGTTCTGCCTCCTTGCACTGAGGAATCCTGAATATAGTGTTCAGCAACGAGGACTTTTTTCAGCTGGATAATATTTTTATCTATAGAAATAAGATTTAAGTAGCAACCCTACCAGAGCTCAACAGAACCCCTGCAGTTCTGAAATGCAAGTCTGCCATATAAATATATCACTGGTCTCTTTATGTTGGTTAATTAAACAAAAAAAAAAATTTCCTTGTAGAAATTTGAAAAAGAATCTAATGAATTAACAGCTTTTTGTCAGATCTTATGTCTTGGGGTAATTAGAGAGTGGAATGCTGTACTTGCCACCTAGACACATGAATCTCAAATGCCTTTAAATATAATTTTTTCCCTGAAACTTAAGGTTGGTGAAATATACTGACTCAACAGTATTTTTCAGCTAAAGCCTACTGTGCAAAATCAGTAGCAGTGTCAAGTGCCCTGCCTATTCAGGCAAACTGCAGGGAGTTTGGAAGCAAAACCCATGGCTGATGAGGCTTTTATTAAGGACACTCATGTGGGAGATAATTCAGTTTGATATTCTTTAGCAGTTTCATAGTGTTTGCATGCTGATACTGCAACTGTGTTTATGCAGGATGAATCCCCTCTGTAGCTGGGGGCATGCATGAAGTTAAAATGAATGGAGGTGGATTTAAAAAAAACAAACAAGATGCCAAGAAACATCCACTTCACAGACTGACTAAACATGAGTGTTACTTCAAAAGGCAGAATTAGGCCCAATCTGTTTTGCTGTAATGCATAAAACTCCCAAGTTAGAACTGCATATTTTTTCATGACATGATCTCATTTACAAACCCTGCCATACTGAAAAGTGGAAAATGCTTCCTTGCTACAAAGTTACATTGTAGGAGGGTGAAAGCTGTTGAGAGGAAAGGAAAACTTCAAATGGATTGCAGGAAAAGGTGCAGAACTAGCTTCAATTCAGACAGGCCATCTGTGATGAAAGCAGACCTTACCAAGAAGCTTCTCCCCCAGCATGCTCAGCTGATCTGCATTCAGTCCTCTCTTTGTTACAGAAGAAAACTGCCAACTCAGAACGTCAGAAAGCTTAGACCACTTTGCATAAGGTGGATTCAGAAAGAAGGACAGGTTCTAGAACGGAAGAGAAAAATACAAGCTATAGCTAATAAATATTTATTTTGGAATGCCACTTGAATGTTTGTATTGCCCAAGCTCCAGGTTTAAGAATGGATGTCAGCTTGAGTCAGCTCTGCAGAAGCAGGCAGCTATTCTTCCAGGCACTCTTTACCAGCAAAAGCAATCTCTGGGGCCCTGGATAGGTCTTCTCCCAGCAGGCAGAACTGGTGGATTACTCAAGTGCACCATAACTGAGTTCTTGAATGTTCATTTGGCTCATCCCTGTGTGCTGCATATCCTGAATACATGTACACTGCCCTTATGTGGGTTCCAAATATTGCTCTGTTTAGGTCAGGGATGTCACTGCCCCCTTTACACCTGTAACTCATTGAGTCATCTGCAGAGCTAAAATGCAGCAGCCACTTGCAAACATTGCTTGAAAATCAGACATAGTACCTGATAAAACATCTTTTTGTCTTGCAAATACCTTGGGATCAGTAGACAGCATGTTGAACCACAAGATAGAAGCCCATCCACTGGGAAGCTGGCTCACATTTGAGATCACAACAATGGGAAGGGATGTGGTCTGAAAGGGGCACAAAAGGAAACATGTCCGGTTACCCTGCACTGTTGCCACAATCCTCCTTGAGATTATCCACACACCCATTGCTGTTTTAATTCCCTGCTTGCATAATCTTGACTTCTTCTATAGTTGTTTGTATGTAGGGGAGAAAGTATGATGAAATACTGGAAAGACTTGGGTAATTTTTGTCTAAAAAAGACATTCATTTAGGGTCAGTTATCACAGCACTGATAGTGACAGTAGAGTTCACAGCAGACTGCTTCTGAAATAATGTAAAACGATAACCAACCCTGTGGCTTAAGCCTTCTAGGTATCAGACATTTTGTAAAGCACATCTATTTGTATTTACCCAGAGATCTGACAGAATTCTCTCTCTGTGCCTATGCAGAGTTGTTGTGAAGTGTCATTCCCATAATTTGAAATAACTGAAAGTATGTGATATCCCAGGACTTAAAAAAAACCCAAAAAAACAAGAAAGAGAACAAAAAAAGAGAGAAAAAAGTTAAGATTGTCAGCACAAGTGACACACAGGAACTGAAGTCCATCTCTTTGATCTAAGACTTACCTCTAGGTCTATTACCAAACCAGGCTGGCACAGCTGTGTCTCAAAACTCAGAGAGTGAAGCTCTTCTGTTACAATCAGAGGACCCTTCAAAAAAAAAAAAAAAAAGATAACTTTTTGGGGACTGAAAATTCCTAGGGTGAAGTAATGGGGCTTTATCGTGAGCAAAACCTTTTTCTGCTCATGGTCACATGCTCTAGACCTCAGTAAGAGCTTACATGTCAAAGTCACTGTGACAGTGCTGACTTCTTAAAACTGCCTCTCCAGGCATGCTTTTTGGGGTTTTTTTTTTGGCTACTGTAAGCCATAGAAAAATCTGTGCTTGCCTGCCAGGAAACCCTGTTAAAGGCAGATGCCAGTGTGGGAGAGTCCCTCACTGCCATTCTGGCAGTAGCTCTCCTTGCAGACTCTTCCTAAAAGGATCACTGTGTAGAAACACTGAACTCCTCTCCCATGATCTCTCATCTCACCGTGTGTCTTCATGGGCCTGAGCAGAGAGCATTGTCTTAAATGAATGCCTTGTTAGTATTATGCTAAAACTTGACAAAGGAAAGGTTAGGGCTGCTTACCTCATTTGTTCTGCTCCCGGTGTTTTTCTGTTCTTTCAGTTGCTGCAAATGAACAAAAAACCTGTCACTTGTTTATGGTAGCCACAAATGGAAGTGGTAGAGTTCCACTTGCTCAACTGTATGTAAACATGCTGCACTGGTGTCTGATTCTATTTGGTTCTAAGGTGTGGGAGCCTAAGGAATAAACTGCTAGGTAACTACTACCCTTTTATAAACTGTTCATCTGTGACACAAGATATTGCAATGCCTTTATGCAAAAGGCCTTTTAAGAACAGAAGCAGTATGAAATCAGGATCAGGTGGAATATTGGTTTATCAAAGTACCCCTCTGAATTGGATGACGATCTCTAGACAGCCTCAGCTCTGGACAATGAAGGCAGAGTTCCATGTTCCCTAGTTCTGGACTTGCATTTTTCCTCTCTTGCTGTAGAGATGGAACCAAAGTGTTCCCTCACAATCTGCAGATCACAAGTCCCCATAGCATGCCAAATGCACTGACTCTCTTGCAGCTGTGCACTCCTTGACAAATTTCATCTTCCAGACTCAAAGCTCTTCAAACTCTTCCAGACTTCCCACCTATGGACCTTCCTCTGAAAGGCCCAAACCAGCCTTTCTAGTCTTTTTTAACTCCCTTCCCCCAAAAACCCATTGCAGCATAAGCTATATGGCAGCAAATACTCTTGTTTGCATTTCTGTCTCTTTTTCAGTGACAAGCAATCACATTTTGATTGATTCTGATTTTGAAACAGGCAAAAAATATTTTAAAAAGGACAGAACAAATAAAAAGGAGAGTCACAGTTGCTCTTTACATAAAAAATGAATAATTACTTCAGTAACAAAAGCAATTTGTTTCCTTCCTACCATGCTCTACTGAAAATTAAGTGGCTGTATCAGTAATAGAAAAAAACAACCCCATACCAAGTGCCTGAATTCTGCTGCAAGACTTCCATTAGTAGATTCTTCCATGTTCATTACTTTTGTGTTTGTTCCCAAAATATTAAATTTCCTGAACCTATACAAAGAGAGAGAAAATGTAATTAAATCTCTCATTCATTGAAAGAACCTAATGTTAATATATCAAACTCTGATGCCACATACCCTTTGACCGAGTTCTTCTCAGTTACATCTCTGTCAAGAAAAAAAAAAAGACAAAATAATCTAATTTTAAAGATTCTGCCAAAGACACAGAAAATGTGCATTAGTAGCTGAGTGCTGACTGAGAACTGGTAAAATGCTTTTGTGAAATTCTTGTGCAAAAGATGAGGCAATTGGTTAAAGCAGTCAAAATAAATATTGTGCAACACAGCCTTTGTTTTACTCAGGTTTGATATTGCTACAGGGGGTTTATAATCAAGAAAGTACTTTCTTTTACTATAAAGATTTTAACTCTTGCTCTGAGGAAAAAAATATAGTTCTGCCACTATAAATCTGCTTTTAAACTCATTGAAAAAATTGCTGCATCACTTGAATTGGTTTTCCCAGCACTTGGAATTTTAATGAGTTGCATTTTATCTAGTGCACTTTTCAAAGATGCACCTCCCACAGCCACATAAGAATTCCTTTTTACTTTTTTACTATTCTATGCAAGTTTCTGGACCCTAGAGCCATTTCAAGTGAACAAAATTACTTGGTTGGGAAGACAAAAACCCACTTGCTTTCTTGAAAGCACGGTCCCTGTCATTATTTTGGACAGCCTGTCACATTTCTTTCCCTGCCCTTGAAGTAAGTGCAAAACTCACCTGAACTCCTTACAAAATACAAAAGGTTGGTATTAATCTGTTTCAATTGCTGGTTTTTTTCTCTCTGATTGAGAACATGTCATATGTTACAGGTAGGCATATTATACCCCTTATTCAAAGGCATCTTGAGGATAACCATATTCCTTACTACCCAAAAAGGAAGGGATTCTAGAGATGACTGAATTATGTGGCTAGAAATGGTGGAGTCCAATTCCACACTGTCACCTCATGCTAATCCAGGTGAAACACCCCAGCAGAATGGCTGCTGCCCAGGTGCTGCCCCATGTCTGATTTAGCAGTAGTGAGCTCTCCTCTGTGGAGCTGATGGTGAGAAGCTGAGGCCATCTGCACTTTGTGACATGTCTCTGGTGGTAGAGAGAGATTTAGAGCAAGGGAATGGGTAAGGAAAAAGGAAGGATGTACCTTCTGCCATGGAGAACCAGCCTGCTGCTGGCCTGCTCAGCACTTCTAATGTGACTGCTCTTGGGCTTCTGAGTGTGGGAACTGTTTACCATTACACAAGAGAAATGAAATAAATGCAACATACTTATCAAATAAAACTTTCACTTTCAAGTTGTAGTTCAGTTCCTGCAGTTTCACCAGCAATCTGGAAAGAGAAGTATTTTAACATCAGCAATTGAAAAATAGGGGTTTTCTTCTGTTGTGTTGCTTACCACAGATATTTCAGCACACTCAGGGGCCACATGCAGGCTCCAAGCTTGCTTCTTACCAGACAGCATTTAGAGATAAAATTAAATGGGCAAATGAGCTATTCTTTGGCATGACAAATTGCTCTGCATGCGTCTTCTTGCTGTTTGGTTGTGTTTGTTACACACTCAGTACACCCCACTTCTGGGAAAGTGTAAAAGCTGAACGTGAGTTAAGTTCTGCCAGAAGAAAGCCCCTGCCCCTGGCACTTCCCTCCTCCTGCCTCAGCCCCTGGGCTGCAGGGCAGGCTGTGCAATCCTCTTGGCTGCAGGAAGCCAGTGACAGGAAAGCCTTACCACAAAAAAGGAACAGGGAAAGGGGAAAGCATACCTCAGCTTCACAGTGAACTGCACTCCTGTCTTCAGGACTAGTGGCCTCTGAGGATGCGTTGGCATGCAAGGCTGCCTCTCTACCACAAAGGAGCTATGGGAAGAACAGGTTAAAGGCACTATGATTTATCCGTACTGCTCTTAAATAAGAAACCATATAAAAGAGAACTTTAAAAGAATGCTGATTTACCAGAAATACTATACACTTTATTCACTCAGTTTCAATCTGCATAGAGGTGTGTGACTCAGTTCCTTTCAATTGTTACAATGGGGCTAGAAATAGTGATTTTGTAAGTGTTGGTTTTTCTGCAGTACATTGATGACTTGAGGAGGGAGATTGCTACAGGACACTTCTCTGAAATCAAACAGCAAGGAAACACTGTGCTGTAATTAACATGGTGCAAGTGAGAAGTGTTGCTCTGTGTGCCATTCCCAGGGCTTCCTGAATTCTTACAGTGAGTGCAGTGTAACAACACATGCCCAAGCCATGGATACACTAGCAGGGGATTTGATGAGGGCCAGCTAACCCAATGAAACAAACTTTTGGGGCTAACCTGTTTTGATACACCCCAAATTTGTATCTACTGTGTGTTTACAGAATAAGTCTCTGATCTTATGTGAGGCAACTACCAGCTACAGTAATTTGCATCAAAAAGGTGGTACAGAGGCAGGGCTGGCATCCCTGTGCTGGAGGCAAAGATGATGTGTCCAGGGACAAAGGATTGGAGAATCTGGCATCTATCTATCTTGGGCACAGCTTGGTGCAGATTGTTTCTTGCCTCTCTTCACCTGAACTTTGCAGGGCTGAAGGTTGGAGAAGTGGACTAACAGACTAAGAGTTTGACTCTGTAATCAATGTGTACTGCAGCAAAGCTCCTGCTAACTTAAAATAATGACTCAGCACAAACCCCTTCCATAGGCCTGACCTGTGGAAATCCTAGATGGGGTAAATCTCAAAACCAGTAATTCAGTTTAATGTTTGACAAACTTAGGAAAACCTTGGAAAATGACAAGATACTATGTAGGAAATATTGAGGGGATGGTAGGGAAGGTGCTCTTCATCTATTTATTCATAGTAACACCAGAAGATCCTTATGGTCTATTACCTTTGGATGAGCTGTTGAAAAAGCTTGTGTGTTAGGTCCTGCAGAAATTGTTTATTTTTTGTGATGGGATCAGGGTCATAGGTAAACTTCTGTTCCAGTTCCTCAAGCTTCTTGAGCTGCTGACGAACTTGCTGTAAGCTTTCAGCAACAATGGTGAACCTACAATTGACATGATCTTATTACTTTTAGCAGGTTTTTATTATATTTTATTACATTATTGTACTAATGCAGAGGCACCAGCCAGGTGACTGTCCCTGAGGACGTGGCAGTGCCTGGAGTACACTTTGTGCTCAATGGAAACGTGGTGAGGTAATAAAATGAATGCAGTTGTGCTAAGACAGAATGAAAAGGGATCATACAAATAATCAGTACATTTCCTAGATGTGGTGTTCCTCCACAACATGGTTTAAATGTGGTCTTACAAAGACTTACCAGTTCTGCAGCTGGTCGAGGCAGGCGTTGGGTGGCCCACCAATGCACGCCGTCTGCTGCCTGTGCTTCCACTCCACCAGCTCGTCGTTAATAAGGGCAGCCTGTGTGTGCTCTGTGCTCTGCAGCAGCTGCACTATCTTATTCACCACCTCCTACACAGAATATGAGATTACCCTGTTTATTAGAAATACTTCATACAGGAGAATTAAGTACTGTTTTAGCTAGTGCTCATCTGTTTTGCAAAACTCTGCAAATATCTCAGTTCAACTGACACATTAAAAAAACTTTCCTACTGCTAATTTATGTCAATTCTATGAAAATGAACATGTGCTTAAGATGAAGAGCTGCTGACTTCTGAAAGAAAACTTGAATGCTACCTTTCTCTTGTGGTCCAGTGATAAGAACATGTGCTGGAGATTCAGCTGCTCTTTCTTGTATTCCTCCTGAGACATATTATTGGACTCATGCTCTGTAAAATAAGTCCAAATTGTGAATGTGAGGCTGAAGGAGTGCTGAAGGATGGGTGGGGAGAATGCTGAGGCGAGAAGGGAACAAATACAAAAAGCAAGATGCTGACTTAGAGCTTCCCTTAGTACCTTCTGAACATGTCCGTTTTCTAAGGGACAGTCAGCTCTGCCAAGCTGTGTTAGAAACTAAAGCCTTTTCCAGAAAAAGAAGTCAACAACAGAGACAGAGCTGTATAATGAAACTAGTGTGGACTCTGTGTGTTGCCCTTGGTACACAAGAGCCTAAAAAACCTAAAGCTGGTTTGGCATTTGTGAAACATCACAAATTAAATGTATGGTTGAATAGTCACAGAGCCTACAGGGTTTGCTACTTCTAGTGGCAAAGGGATGTAGAGGGCAAAGGAATGCTGTGTTAACAAGGAGACTCTTTTACTTGGAACAAAAGACAGACGCAGAAATTTAGGTTTCAGTGTGAAGCAGAGTTAATCAACAAGGGACATTACCAGTAAATTTGGCTGTGTTACCATTAGGCTCAGTGCCCTGACATAAAGAGCAGTTTACTCTGACAAACTATATACAATAGGGGATTGTCCTTGAAAAATGACTCACCTCTGTTCTGCAGGGTTTTACATTTGAAGTCATATTCATCTTGCATATCCTCTAATGTCTTGATGTCCTGCTCCACATCCTGTAATGCACAAGTGAGGGTGGCAACAATTATTTAATATTTTCAAGTAATGCAAGACTTGATCTGATTAGGAACTGCCTGGTACCAGCCCTGACAGACATGAAGTCCAGTTTTGTAGCAATGCCTGTTCCTGCACTAACAGGAAATATTTCTACATTTAATCACCTTCTATTCACCCTTCCTCCTTCAAAACTAACTGAAATCTGTTAATTATAAAGTATGGAAATGCCCTTGTGGTCAAGCCATGTAAGTTCACAGAGTTTAGGAGAACCTAGGCTACAGTGGTAAAACTTGGAACAGCACAAAGCATTTTAAACTTTCATATTCTTACATACTATTTGGAGAAAAACTTTCTCTTGTGGCTGTATTTATTAAGACAAACATCTATATGCTAAAAAAAAGTACATCTTCTAGTTAGCAACAAACTGGTCAGTTATGATTTAAGAGGTTTTTGTCCCCTGAGTTGCTAGTATGTCAGATGGGTAAAATGCTTTTGTTGCTAAAGTTTAGGCACAAGGTACTTCCCATGCTCAGGAAATCCCTGGTTTATAGATTTGAAAACTCCACCTTACTTTTATTCGCCATTTTATCAAGTCTAATTTTCAGCATCTGTGAATCAACAAACACTACTGAGAAAAGTTGTATTATACTTACTGTAACACTGGTTTTTATAGCCCTAACTTTGGCATCAAGCTCCTTCTGCTTGTCTGGCATCCCAGTTGCAGTGTTCTGTACACTCCCTACTTCCATCTGAGGGAAGGAGCAGAATAAGTCAAAACAGAGTGACCCATAACTTTTTTCATTACTGTAAATGAGTGGCATTTGTTGACAAACAACCTGAGGAAGCATGGCTTGTTCTGATGAATCATACTAAAATTTTGTAGTATAAAAAAAAAATCAAATTCAGGTGAATTTGAAAGAAACAAAGTATTTACTTTAGTGAACTGCCAAAGGTCCCCCATCATGGATTTAAGTCAAGCTGGATTGGGCTTTGAGCAACCCAGTCTAGAGGAAGGTAGGTGATCTCTAAAGCCCCTCCCAATCCAAACCGTTCTGTAATTCCCTTTCCCTTTTTGATAACCCACATTTATTGCACACTGGAAAGGAGCAGCAAGTGCTTTATGTCACTTGCCAGGACCAAGCAGCTGTGCTGCAGCTACAGGGGCTCCCTCAGAGTCACACTCTCAGAGCAGCTGCTTTGTTGCAAAGGGCCCCTTGTTGAAAGCTGTGCCCAAGTGCTCTTCCCACGCTGCACATTCAAAGCCTTGCTATAAACGGAGGTATTTCCCTATTGGAAATTAACATGCTTGGTCAGGCACCACTTTATTTCTACATAAGTGGATTACAGCTGTCTATATATTTTGCATGCCTTTCCCAAGTGCGGAATTTTTATTGCAAAACAGTTCTTGCAAAGGAAAAAAAAAGGGTGAGAAGCTGGAGAACAAATGATGGAGAAGATATGGCTTTACCTATAATTCAGAAGAAAGAAAAGGGCTTCAGTAAAAAAACACCCCAAAACACCACCAAAATTAGAAAGAAATACTTGGAGACAACTGGGAAGGAGAATGATGCATCATTCTTCCAGAGATAGTCCAAAGAAGCATGCTCAGCTGAGAGAGTAATAAGAGAGTAAACTGGGGAGTAAAATACAGAAAAACAAACCAAAAATCTTACTGGATATACGAGTTAAGCACTAATTATTAAAACAAAATCCAATTGGCACATCAGGCTACATCGTACTACAGAAGCACTAAAACAACCAGCACAGCTTTTATGTCACTCAAGGAATAACAATTATTTCCTGGCCATTTATCCTCCAAATGCTTCATTCAGCAGAAAAGAGCCATGCTGTCCAGCTGGTACATATCAGTGCTCACTCTTCTCTTTTTTTTAAGGAACCCCTTATTAGGCAGAGAGAGGATAGCCTGTTTCCCCTGCCAGTCCTCATCCACTTCCCTTGTCCCAAACAATAGGCAAGGGAAGATACAACTGCAGCAGATATTTCAAGACTGTTACCTCATTGCACTCCTGGGCACAGTTCAGTATTTTCCTCTCCTCTTTCAGACAGTTGTGGATGATCATTGCCATGTGTATTGGGTCTTCTTGGAAGTTATCCTAGCATTAGACACATAGTCTATTGTTAAAGTCCATACACATAATTTCTTGTCTTTCAGTAATTTTCAGACTGACAAAAAAAATCAGGGTATGACCCTAGCGTGTGCCTCAGGGAACACACTGGGCATAGCCTGCTCCAGGATTACAAGGGTCAGAGACATTCCTAGGAGTTGTGGGATAGTATCCTACAGTCCTAGAGAGCTCATCTTTCAAGGGCCACCCCTGCACACCTTGTTATGGCTTCTGGTTTAACACACAGTCCAGGTTGGATGCAAATTCCACCTTATTGTTTTACCTGCACACAAAGCTGAAATGTGCTGTGATTGAGTACTGCCCTGCTCTGCTCAGGATGGTGCTACCCTGGGGGCTTTCTTTTTCCTAGAGTTCTCAAACTCTAACTGTGCTGATAATTAAACTGTAACTTTCTAACTGTAGCAAATCAAAACAAAAATGGAGCAACACTTGAATTCTGGCTTTTAAATCAGGATTCTCACACCTCCTCTGTGAAAATCCCTCACAGCAGGGTAGCTTAGAGGCAGCACCCAATTGCACTGAAGCAAATCAAGCACATGTGTAGATATATAGATAACACACAGATGTATAGATTGTACAGATAACCCAGGCGTACCTGAAGATTACGTTTGCTTTTCCTTATGTTGTGCTGCAGCAAAAAGTTGTTTTCTATCAAGAATCTACTGAATTGATCATCAAGCTGTGACAGCAGGTCATGGAATAACAGTGTAGCAAATGATACATTGTTGGCTGCATGTTCCCTGGAATCGTTTAAAGGATGCTTGGGTTAAACACACTTCCAACACAAGAGCCAAAAAAATATATATACAGGTGTACTTGATTTTTAATCCCCAACTCCAGTTGTAGAAGTTGCAAGCACTGAGAATTGCCTTCAAATGTAAGCCAGTTTCATTCTCTTAACTGAATTTACTTTCCTTGATACAAAAATGTTGTTTCTCTATTATTTTTGCCACATTCTGTTCAAATTCATTTACTCATTCCATGCACATCAGGAACCTCAAAGTGACCCTGATGTGTTGCATGTTGTACCATCCCTCAAAGAGAAGACATTCCACAGAAAGTCTGGCAGAAGTTCAGAGCCTTTGAAGAGTGAGAAACTGATGCTAACAAGGTAGTAATTGGTCATAAAACAGCCACTTTTGTTCCAGACCACTGAGAACATTATGAGCAAGGACACTTACTCCAGGTATCAGGCCCCTCCAGAAAGCCCTGAAGAGGGGCAGGAACACAGGCTGGAGCACCCACACAGCTACTGAAGCATCCTGCCAGCAAAGGATCACCCAGCAGCTTGCTTCCCCAGCATTCTGCCTGCAACTGCACTTCGGAGGGCACTGCTTATCACACAAAGCCTGATTAATTTCTGGGCTTACCAATCCTGGTTTTCCAGCCACTGTGCCAGGTACTGCCTGATCTCCATAGGAAAGCTGTCATCATATAGCTGGTGAACTTGCTCCAAAAACTTGGAATCAAGTTGCTGTAGTTGATACCACTGAGACATTCTGAGGAAGGAGTGAAAAAAAAGTCAGCATAAATGTTTAAGTAGTATTTGGACTGAAGAGGTCAAAAATAACTAACTTGAAGTTTTCACGAACATTGACAAATTTGGAGGACGTGCTGATTTATTTTGTTCACAGTAGCTAGTTTTGGATTTGTGCAGGAAACAGCGCTGGTAAGACAGGGATGTTTTTGTTACAGCTGAGCAGGGCTTACACAGCACCAAGGCCCTTTGTGCTCCTCACCCCACCAGTGAGGAGGCTGGGGGTGCACAAGGAGCTGGGAGGGGACACAGCTGGGAGCTGAGCCCAGCTGACCAAAGGCACATTCCAGACCATGTGGCATCAAGCTCATAGAGCTTGGGGAAGGAGGAGGAGGAAAGGGAGATATTTTGCATGATGGTGTTTGTCTCCCCAAGCCACTGTTAGGTGTGATGGAGCCTGGCTTTCAGGCCTTGCTGACCTCCTGCCTTTTGCTTTCTTGTGTACGTGGCTTTTGCTTCACCTGATAAACTGTATTTATCTCAGCCCATAATGTACCTCACTTTTGCCTTTCTGATTCTCTCCCCATCCCACCTTGCAGGGAGGAGAGAAAGTGAGTGAGTGGCTGTGTGGTGCTTTCTTTTTTTTCTTTTCCTCCCAACCCATTTTCGTGGCATTTAGGGTACTGCTAGTGCTACTGCTCTCTTGCTTAGCAGATATGGGAATGAGGACCTGTGTGTTTGATACCTATACTCTGCATAATTGAGAATTTGAACGTGGAGTATCACCTCTTGCTTGTGCAGATGTATTCCCCAGCACCGAGAGCGAGAGTGAAAAATTAGAGACCCCTCCAAGTGCCCATTTTCAGTTGCTACTTGTGTCTACACTTGCCTGCTGTGAGAATGGACTGCATCTCAAGTCACTTTAAATGGAGAAGTACAGGAAAAATTGTTTTTTCTATATGTTTTAGTTCTCATGATCATATTTTCAGTCTACATTCAAGTAACCTGTGCAGCAGATACAGGGTGCTTAAATGAACTAAGAATGCAGAATGGCTTCTCTCAGTCCTCACACTTTTGTGAGAGTGGCTTCAGCTCTGATGGATGGTCTCTAGAAGCACCTCAGCCTTCTAAGCTGCAGGTTATCAGCTTGTAGTGGAAATGGCATGTAAAAATACATCCAAGGAACAGCCCTGGCTGAGAATATGAGTAGTGACATGCAAATCCACTCACATCATTGATTTTTAATGGCTGCCTACAAGACCCGTCCATAAGAAAAGGGCAGAATCAGGGTGAAGGGCTATCTTCTATGCCCCTTCCTACCAAATCCTTTAGTTTTTATATGCCAGTGCCCTCAGCTGCTGAGCAGCATGTGCTAGGTGTGAGAAGCAAAGGAGTTAAAAATGTGATGTTCCAAGTCAGGGCTTGGAGGCTTTTGATGTGTCTGCTTTTCAGCTTACAGCTAACACAGCATTTGAGTGTGCTATAGCAGTCCCAAAGGAGATTCCACAACCTCCCTGGGTAACCTGTTGCAGGGCTCTGCCACCCTCAGTGTAAAGTTCTTCCTCATGTTGAGGTGGAACTTGTTGTGGTTTAGTTTGTGGCCACTGCTCCTCATCCTGTAGCTGGGCACCACTGAAAAGAGTCTGGCACCATCCTCTTGGCACCTGCCTTTGAGTTATTTATATGTAACGATGGGATCCCCTCTCAGTCTTCTCTACTCCAGACTAAACAGGTCAAGCTCCCGCAGTCTCTCTTTGTAAGAAAGTGCTCCAGATCCCTCATCATCTTTGTGACCCCTGCTGGACCCTCTCCGGTAGCTCCTCGTGTTTGGTACCGAGGAGCCCAGACCTGGACACAGCACTCCAGCTGTGCCTCGCTAGGGCTGAGCAGGGGCGGCTGATCGCCCCTCTCGACCTGCCGGCCACCCGATGCACCCCAGGACTCATTCCTGGCCCTCCTCTACCTCCTTTCCTGTAATCCCCGGGGGATCGCGGCCGGCCCAGGCGGCGGGCTTCGGGAGCAAAGGGCGCGGGCAGCCGTGCCAGCGCCGGGCCGGCTCAGCGCCGCCGCGGGAGCAGCGCACCTGTTCGGCAGAGGCTGCCCGGCGATGCCGTGCTGGGGACAGGGTCCGCTTCGAGCGCTCCCGGCAGGGCAGGTCTGGAGAGGGTGAGCTGTGGAGAGCGGTAGGACTCGACAGCGGATGCGGCAGAGGAGCAGGGGTGTCCCTGCCAGGAATGAAGAGCTCTAGCAGACACCTGTTTTCCCCAGGTGCAAGGACACCGAAGCGCAAAGCTCGGCGGGTGTCCCGGAGGCAGTCTGAGGAAGCGACAGCTTTAGTTACACCGGGCATCCACCCCGCCAGCCCCCGAGGCGCGGGCAGCGCCAGCATCATCCCCCGGCCCCTCACGCCCGCTCCCCTCACCTCGGCTCCGGCGCGGCGCTGTCACGGTGCCTGCTGCGCCCGGGGAGCCGCGCGCCCGAGTGCGCCTGCGCGGGGGCGGGCCGGGGGCGTTCCAGGGCCGGGGGCGCGTCACGTGACTTCTGGGAAAGGCGGCGAAGGCGAAAGCGAAACCAGCGCGGGGCCCTGAGGGCGGCGGGGCAGGGCCTGAGGGCCGGGGGGGCTGCGGCTGCTGGCCCGGCCACTGCAGCCCGGCGCCCATAAACTGCAGGCGGCTGAGCCGTGTCTCCCTTCCCATTCCATTTCTTGTAAGCCCTGCTCGCAGGGACGCTGTCGCTGCCTCTTGGTCCCGCGTAGCCTTTTTGGGTTTTGTCTTGGTGCTTGAAGCCATTGAAGGCCAGCCTTCGCAGCGGGTTCTCCGGCCTGGTCTGTGCCCCCTCCCTCCACAGATGGAGGAGGCAGGTCTTCACAAAAAAAAAAAAAAAAAAAAGAAATAGGTCTGTTTGGTAAATGTCGTGGTGTGAAATACTAAGGAGCAGGAGATCTATAAACATGGCTATGAATGAAAGCTGTGGAAGAAGGTGACTGGCAGTTCTTATGGTTTTTAATTAGGATTGTTACAGTGACAAGACAAAGCACAAAACAATCACATTTTTTTACTTTGCTGTTGCAAAACACAGCGAAAGCACAAGCACAGTTAGTAGAACTACTTAAAAGCAGATTTTTTTTTTTTCCTGGTAGTATCTTGGCACCCCTTTTTTTGTGTTTTTCCTCCACACCATCGTTTCACTGTGTGGAGAGCTGCGTTCTTACTCCTCGTGGCATAAAGACAAAAATTCTCACTTTTTTAATGGAAGGGGGTTTGGGCTATATGTATTCATCCTGCAGATAAATTACTTTAAATCGGTGAAATGATCTCAAGGCAGGTCTTAAGTCTTCCCTATGCAGAAATCTGTTCAGAAGCAATAGCAGGAACTGTCATGCCAAAACCCGACCCATGGTGCTGTTCAGAAACTCCAGTTATATTGAAGTTAATACTTGAGAACCTTGAAAACTTGCCTTGCATGGAGAGCAGGGAAGAAGAAAAGAAAAAAGGAGACTGGTTCTCCTGCCGTGTCTGATCTTGTCTTACAGTACTTCTTTAGATGGTCAAAAATGAAAGGTGTCCCCCATTTTGTTTGCATTAAGACTGTGAGTAGGTTAGAATGAAAAGGCATGCAAATAGCTGATGTCAGGGAGGTTATGTTTCCTGCTTCAGAATTCTGTTTTACTGTCAGTAGCTCAGTTTAAGGTCAACCAAAAGGCAGCAAGAGTGTTTTTGTTGTGCCTTGGAAAGAATCCACAGAGGTCCAGGTATGCAACTTGAAGCCAAAATCTGATTTTATTCATGCTGGTTATATAAATTACAGGTATTACCAAGCTATATACAGAATTGCTCTTGTTGTTTTTTGTTTTACACCTCATGCTTGCTGAACTTATATGCAGCTTGTTTTGAATCATTCAGTGTAATGAACAGAGATGCGTTTGTTTCTTTGAAATTTACTTCCATGTATCACAAAAATACCTCATTACTTTGTTTCCGCTCACTCACTTTCAACTAACCTAAATAGCATGGATGAAAGGAGAAATGAAAGTAAAATCTTACTGCTTCAAGGAGGTTAGGTTTTCATCACAGAATTCTCATTTATACCTGCTTGAGAAAGCTGTGAGGTGCAAGTGTTCAAGGGTTTGTGTTTTATGAGCTTTGCATGCATTAACCATGTGTTCTGTGGGCAAGGCTTGCATTTTGGTTAAACCTGCATTTGTGAAATACAGTGGCCTTGGAGTTGCCTGTTTATTATTTTATTAACAGAGATTTTAGGGATAACACTGGGGGAAATAAAACCAAAACCAACAAAACCAAACAACCCAAACTCAGCAGTAAACATGTCTGAAAGAAAGAAAGAAAAAAAAAGAGTATTTAAAGAGGGCAGTTTACTGTTTTTACAAAAACTAATTGTCCTGGTTATTAAGTGAGCCTGTGACACGCATGTAATATCCTGTCACGCAGAACAAGTTTCCAGGTGGTCAGCAAATGCTGCAGCTCTTCAGTGACTGTTTTTCTAAAACTGCTTCCCTGTTGCCATTGAGCATCCAAACTGTGTCAGATTGGTTTTTTTATTTGCAGACTTTCTGACAGTACTTGCTGGGGCATCTGAGTGCCTCCTGCCCAAACAGATTTACTTCTGCAACTATTTTGTGAGAGGGGAAGTTTTACTGAATCTCTCTTCCAGTGGAGAAATGGAGACAGCCTTTTTAACACCACAAGTTTTATGTCTGCTTCCTTTCTGGAACTCCCTTCTCTCCCCAGCCTTGCCTACCTGCCTTTCACAACTTCTGCTGTGGTGTCAGATAAAAATCTGTGTTGAAGGCAACTCATCTTTGGAGAAAAGCAATCCCCAGATACCTCTACAACATTCAAAGTCAGAGGAACAAAAATCTTTGCTTTGAAATAGTATCTGACTCAGTGGTGTATAAGATTATGGATGAGCAGAAAGTATTTAACATCATAAATCCTAATTTCTCCAAACACATTAATGTCTTTCGTTATCTTTATATGCTGTCTTCAGAAACAAAACACTTTGTTCTTATGCTCTCATATTTACAGCAATTCTATGGAAATTAGTCAAATTAGCAAGTAAAATTTATCTCTGCTGGGACCCCACTGAAGTCAAATGACTCCCAAGCCTGAGAGGATTTGGTCTTTTTTCAGTGACAACAGCAAATCTGACTTGCAAAAGGCTGTTTGAATCCCTAGAGAGAAAATTCCTTGTTTATGTGTTGTTGAAAGAGCCCTAAGAATAATGTAATGGTTTCCAGAAAAGCTGACTTTCGAGGTGACAGGAAAAAAAAATTATGACTTCTTTAACCCATCCAATGTTCACACAATTACTGATTTTTCCAGTATGTGCACTTCAGTCAGTTGAGTAAGGAGAACTCAGCTAGAAGAAAAGAAGGAAAAGATTAGTCTCATGGCACTCACAGCTGTTCATTTAAAAGAAAATGCAGATGAAACCTTTTCTGGCTCAAGGTAACTGCGGAGTCACTTTGATAATGTTGTACAAACTGATAAGGAAAATAATGTTTCTAGTTGCTTATAAAATAGAGGAATGCTCTTTAGAAGACACTGTGTAGGAAACTGTTGCAATAAGAATAAGCATGGCATTTATTTTTGTATGAACTTCTGTGGTTCTTGAAGCCTGTGGAAATGTATAGCAGGGTTCTTTCTTGTTCTTTGGGTGGGTAAGGGAAGCTGGACTGGGGGGGAATAGAAGGGAATTCAGCAAGACTGCAGAGAGTATATCTTGCTAAGACTGAGTTACTCAGTTATAGGATACTTGGCCTGCTGCAGATTTCACTCTTGTTTTCTGTATCTCACATGATGCTTTTTTTTGGCATTTCATGGAGAAAAAGTACTGCTTTAATAGTGCAGTTTGTCTGCTTGCTATACTCAGCCAGCTCTTCGGCAGGGTAGATTGTTGTGTGAATTTGATAGAGAAAAAAACCTCCATATTTTCCTCATTTCTATTTAGCAAGGTAAATCGAATGGAAAAGGGAAGGAAGGAATTCCTTAAAAATCTTCTAAAACTATTTTTTCTCATGCAATTTCTAGCAGATCTTGAAAACATTTCCAGGAAGAGCCTACAGAAATATCACTTACCATCTAGCAGCACTGAACCGCTCATCTTGGTACCTTTAAAATTGTATGTAACGCTTGCAATTTGCTACCAGGCACATTCTTTTTATCAGGTTATGACCTTGAACAATGGCCACAGCTTACTTTGAAGCCCTGAATAGAGCTGGTTTGAGATTTACTGAGCATGCAAGAAGAAACCAAAAATGTTTGGAGGCTGATGTTAACCGAAAGTGAATCCAACTATTCTTTACTCTGACGAAAGTTCAGGAAAGCAAATGCGTGCATTGTTCATAAGTGCAGTTGAGGAGGTCAGAACCATTTCCACGTTATAAACCAAAATAGAAATCAGTGGGGACATGTCCTGGATTGGGTGGGATAGGTTTTAATGCAGAATTTGAATTCAGGCTGGTTATTTCGTTTTCAGCTAAAGAACTAGTTTGTCACAAGTGCTATCAGAGAAAAAAAGTGAAGAATAAAAAAAGATATCTTGCTCTTGAGTGGATTTTCAGGTTGATGTACTAAAGAACTCATCCATTTCTATGTAAAGTTTAACTGTACTTCTAATCACTGACAATCAGGGTTCTGGTTTAGTTTTGTTCTGTTTGTGGGTAAGAAGAAGTGTTTACAGAGAAGCATTTGAAGGGGAATTGGCAGGCTTTTAAATACATAACCATTTTAAGATCATAAATCATTGAACATACACAAAGTTAAGGGCTAGTAATAAAAAAGGAGACGTTCTTCTAAAGCTGATAGAGCCAAACCACTGCTATGTTTTCTGAGAAAAGTCTGCTGGACAAATTCCCACCTGGCTAAACATCATTGCTCTAAGGACTCTGAGCCATGATTATTTAGAACATCATTCCTAGTCAATAAGGAAAAGAGGAATTTTTAAAAAAAATATGATGTTCATAGACTATTTTCCTAACCTTTCTATATACTAAGCTAATATTACTTTTCTTTGCTGAAAGTATTTTAGTTGACTTTTAATTTCACACTTTGAAAGCCTGTGTAAAATCTTGCCACATGAAAACGTTGTGCAAGTTTGCTGAATTGGAAACAATCAAATTCCTTGGGCAGCTCCCCTGAGCAAGTCCAGGCTTCGTGCTGTCCAGAGAATTAGTATAGGTGGCATGTATTTGTCAGTGTAAAGCCTTCATTTGTGCAAGAACTCTGGGATCTTTGTGTTCTGACATTCATGATTCATTGGCCAGCATGTCAGGCAATTCCAGTGCTTTCAAGATGCTTGCAGTATCCTGCACCATTTAGAACAGGAAATATCTGCACCATTGTTTCAGAATGTAATGGAGCAAGTGATGAAAGAGCTCTGATTCACAGTTGTACAAGCAGCCTTTTATCAACCACCATCTGTGCTGTATCCTGTTTCCTTAATATTTACTTAGGAATGGGAAAGTTTACAACTTACAGCAGTTTCAATGGCTGTGGGACTCAGGTGTTCTCTCAGCACAGCATAAACACTTGGAGACATTGGAAGAAGATCTGATGGAGAATGTGGTTCTGCAGAGTCATTTAAACTAAAAAGAAAAAAAGAAGAAAGCAAACAAAAATATGCAAAAATAATCTAAGAAAAAACTTGAATCCCTCTATGCATATCAGTGGAGTATGATGAATGTTTTTTAAATTTATTAACCCTGTTCTCAGGCTTGCTGGTGGCCCTGTAAGCTCATGCAACAACGTGGTATACACTTAAAAATGTAGGAGATTGAGTCAGGTTTGTCATCTTTCCTTGCCCCTAACATCAGCTACTGCGGAAAAAAAAAAAGGAGTCAGTGAAAGAAAAGTAGATCAGAGTACCATAAAATCTACATTCAGTTTTTACAAATGGTTTGCCCCGTTAATGGAAAAAGCAGTCTACAGGTGAAGTCCTTTACTTCCCTTTCTTGTCTTTAGCAGTCCTTGCCAAACTATTTTCAAATAGTTTGGGGAAAGGAGGCAGGGGAAACTCTGAAATGGGATATAAATGAAATAACAAGTAAAGTGTAACACACCTGTGAGGATACTTACATTTTGGAGACTGGGATAAATACAGAAGGAACGTAACCTTTCCCTCCTCCATCTGAGGGCTTTGAGACTAGAATAAATAGTAAAGAAATTAAATATTGTCTAGTCATTTTATTATCTATTTGACATTGATTATTTGCTTGAAATGCTGAAGACAATAATCCCTGGATAAATAAGTAGCCATGAAAGTGAGGAGAATTTCTGAGATTAGTCCTTGAGCTCAGATCTAAGTCACAGAATTGCCTGTGCTGCCTTGATGTGAATCACAATATAATACTGCAACTGATGAAAGAGATTTTGTTAGGCCTTCAAAGCAAATATACAATTCTTTAAGTTTGGTACTCTGAACCTGCAGATTTCAGTTCTGCAAATGCTTGGGGCTCTGTCTCTACAGATACAGCTTCAGCCATGTATTCTGAATTCCAATTCTTTTGCATGAAATTAAGCATATATGTAAGATGTTAGATGATTGGAGCATTAGGCAAAGTCCACAGAGTTAAAATGAAGAGGGAGAAAAATACTGTAGCCTCCAAATATTTTTGAGTTGTGTAGGAATTTGAGTTCAAATGGAATTATAACCTTTGATACTGAAAGTCTAGAAGAATGTGTTTTATCTACTTAAAAAATAAGGCTTTGAGGGCTTTCTTTAAGCAAGAATGAATTTGATCTAAAAATGAGTGGACTTGGACTAAAAAGAACGTGGGCCTGAACATATTTGGAGCCATCCTTGTTTAGCCTTTTTGCATTTTCCAGTGCAGTTGCCAGGGATTTTCAGAAACATTGTCTGCCATAATAACTTTGTACTTGTGCAGTATATTGGGAAAAGGTGGTGCAGATAAACAGCCTTTGTTTTAGGGTTCCATTGCATGAAATGAAACAAAGTAGGGCTTCCAAGCTGTTTGGGAAATACTGTTTTCTTGAAATTAAAGATACAGCATGCTACAGTGTAACACAACTATGAATCCAATAAGCAGGATGACTTTTCAGTTTCCTCTCCATTGAACACCCAAGACCTGAATTTTGCGAAGCATCAGACAGGAAAGAAAAATCCATTTCTTAGCTTCTTTTGACTATTGTCATCACCTCTACTGTTACCTCTAAGACCAGGGATGTATTTGCAAAATGAAGCTGTCTGAATGACAGACACATGTTAAAACAGTTCTCTTGAAGATGACTATTACAGGAGGCATCTTAATCTCTTTTCTCCCTCCTCTCCCTACAGTCCTCAAATTGCCTCATGGCTTTGCAGCTGCTGTGCAAGAAGGGTAGATAGAGAAGTGGAGCCTAACCTTCGTTTGGCTGACAGCTGTAGTGTTTGCCAAAGGCTTTATCTTTGGGGATATCTGGGTACAGGTACTTCAGGGGGTTTTCAGGAACGTTGTCTGCCATGATAACTTTGTAGTCGCGCAGTATGTCGGCAAAGGGCAGGGCAGATAAGCGGCCTTTGTTGTAGGGTTCCACCGAATGAAATGTTACGTCTCCTGCAAAAACACAAAGGCACCATAACCTGTAGGTGACAGCTGCAGCTGGAACACATTTTTGCATTTCTTTTGAGGTTTACACTTGTACAGGTTTTACCTGTTCTTAGCTACGGTTGTATCTTTCAATATTTAATTTCTGCATATTTGGAAACAAATCTAAAGCCTGCAGTTAGCAGGTGTACCTCACAGACAGCTTTGTTAATATAAAGGGCTCAGAGGTAGAATGTCAGAGTTTTGGTTTGTGTTTGAGAAATTATGATACTTGTATCTTGTCCAAAACCATACTATAACATGATACATGTGAATTTTACTTTCAAACCAAACAAAACTTGACTCCTGTTTTGCAGGTATATTGCAGAGTTTGGGTTAGTTTTGATCTAGTTATTGGCTTGGTTTTTTAAAAATTTTAATTATACTTACCATTTTCTAGCTGATCCACCCAAGTAAAGGTAATTCCACCCAGATTGCTCTCACTAAACCTTAATAAGAATGTTCCTGGTGTCTTGTCTTTCAGCAGAATTCGTTCCTTTTCTTTGCTTACAAATCCCATTATGTACCTGAGGTATAACAGGAAATCATGGGTTTACTTCTGGAAAAAAATACAGACTTTGATCTGTGCAATGTATAGAGTCATAGAAGGGCCTGGTTTGGACAGGGCCTTAAAGTTCACCTGGTTCCAAACCCCCTGCTGTGGACAGGGACATCTTTCACCAGACCAGGTTGCTCAGAACTATCCAGCCTGGCCTTGATCTGGCCAGACTTTATACAGGTGTTCAAAACCTGGTTACAAAGCTCTACGAGGCTTGGGGACTAAGACCAAAGCTTTGTGTGGAATATGGCATTGAGCTCAAAGTACTGTGAAGCCTGGGGAAATTTATCCCAGTACTTGACTGCATAGACAGAACTGAAGAAAAGTTCTAAACCTGCATTTCTAAGAGATCCCATGTTTTTCCCCTTTGACAGCAATTTCCAAAAGTTATGAATGGGAGAAGGGAGACAGATGTGTTAAACTCATTGCAAATACTACTCCTCTGCATGGCTAAAACTGAGATGAGTAAAGGACAGAGAAAATGTGGAGAGACATCAATATACAGCAGTTCCCTTGTTGCTCACCCATCAATCCAAAGAGGAAGAATGTGTTTTTTAATCAAGTCCAGGATTGCTTCAAGCCAAACCCAAAAGGTAAAGGACTTCCCAGGCAAATGTTCCTAACAGTTAAAAAACAACCACAAAACACAAACAAAACCAACACACACGAGAGGAGAATCATGAGAGTGATGTTACCCAGCGTTCACATGGCAGTTTATTCTCAGTTTCTTAAGAATAAGCTACTTTTCTCAAGTGTGAATCACAATTTGAGCTGTGGTTTTGAGTAACATCTCTCTTTCAACCTGACATAAAACCCTCTGATTTTTAAGATATGCATTGGAAGCACCTCATTTTTCAAGGAGAATAAAAATCACATCTGTGATTTCTTCCTAGTTATACATTTATATTTTGAGTGAAAAGAAGATGAGAAAGTTGAACTCCCTTCCAAGGTTCTGCATGTCTTTAAATAATGTAGTTAATATGAATTAAAGGAGCTTACCTTCCTTTATCAATACATTCTCTCTTCCTCATCAAAGTTATTGCATGTATTGACTGTCTTGAAATAATTTCCGTCAAAACTAAACACATGAAAAATCTTATCCTTTATGAAAAACGTATTGCATGCTTTGGTAAGGCTTTCAATTGATCATATACACAAATATATAAGGCACACTATAATATAAGCTTTATGCTTCTGGAAGTGTTTTTTCCCAGTTACATTTTTACAAGGGATGTGATTGTGCTGAGCTGAAAGTCCCACATATGGCCAGTGGGAATCTTATCAGCAGCATCAGAGAAACAAAGATAGGCATGGCTGTGGGTGTTAGGAGAAATAAGAGTTTAGTGTTACTTTTGGAACAGTACCTTGCAGAACTTTGCCCAGGACAGTTGATAATCATTGTAACTCACTTGCTGTCCTGAAAGAAGAAAAAAAAAAAAGCCCAAATGGTACATGTATTATTCTGAAGTTATGAAATAAAAATTGCTTGATATCTGTGTAGTTGGGTGGGGGGTGAGGGGAGGGAGGGATAGGGTCATGCTAAGGGACTGTAGATCTGTTTTTCTCTATTCTTTTGAAGCAGATGATAATAGTTTTGGAAATACTGGCCTAAAGTAGCCTGTGACTTGGTTTTTGCAACACTACATGCTCAGTTTCAGTTTTTAGCCTAAATGTTACTTGTCAGCTTTCCCCAGGGTCTCTCCCTTCTGGGGCACGCTTGGGTCTCAGAGTACTCAGAGTTCATCTTGCTGAGGTTACAGGGCCTCTTTGCTGTGCTGACACCAGTGAAGCATCTCTGGTGAGGCCCCAGAGATGAATAGACCCACAAAGACAGGTACTTAAAATGAAAAAAACTCCAAATCACATAAGTAAGCAGAAATACTTCCTTTTGATTTCAGATGTATGAGATAATTGTTAAGGAGGCAAAATAACATCACAGTTCAGTGTGACTTTGATGCCCTCTTCCTTCACTTGAGCAGCCTTGAAGTTCGAAAGTTGAATTATTTTGTGATAAGAATAAGCTGATGCCTGCTTTTCTTTAAAGAAAAAAATGTCATGGTGACATTTTTGACATCAGGTGTGGGAGTGGAGGTCATGCCATGCTGGTTTTGGCTGGGGTGGAGTTCATTTTCTTCACAGTAGCCAGTGTGTTTTGGACTTGTGCTGGAAACAGTGTTGGTAATACAGGGATGGTTTAGTTCTTGCCAAGCAGGGCTTACACAAAGTGAAGGTGTTTTCTGCCTCTCAGCCCTTCCATGAGCAAAGGGGCTGGGAGTGCTGGAAGCTGGGAGAGGACACAGCTAGGACAGCTGATCCAACTGGCCAAAAGGATATTCTTCCATAGGGTGACATGCTCAGCATGTAAACTTAGTGGTAAGAAGGAAGAAGGAGGGGATGTTTGGGGTGATGGCATCTGTCTTCCCAAGTAACTCCTTTGTGTGATGAATCCAGCCCGGATTTCCAGGCTGAACACTTGCCTGCAGATGGGAGGTAGTGAATGAATTCCTTGTTTGCCTTGTGTGCACGTGTGGCTTTATGTGTTAAACTGTCTTTAGCTTGACCCATGAGTTTTCTCACTTTACCCTTCCAATTCTCTCCCCATCTCACTCTGGGGGAGTGGGTGGCTGTGTGGGGCTTTGTTGCCAGGTGGTGCTAAACCACAGCGTGTGCCTAAAGCCCCTACCTGTAGCTACCAAATGTAAGAACCCCAAAGCAAATAAAATCTGTATATTTCTACACACTTACCCATAAGTTTCTCTGCCAGCATGTTGAGCTGTTCAGAATTGAGTCCACGACCAACATATGATGAAAATTGCCAGCTCAGTACTTCTAAGAGCTGGCTTAAAGTGGCAGCAGGGGGGTTGTTGAAGAAAGACAAATTCTGCAACAGAATGAATGCTTTGTTTAGATAGCAACCATGAATACATATCAGGCTGTAAGAGGAGACTGCAAGTACTTGAGCAGAATGTGGAAGTGTTGAAAGTGAACTCTGTGTGTGGGGAAGCACTGGGCAAATGTGTAGGCACCAAGCTAGGTCTGGTGGGGAGCCTGAGCAGGGCTGCAGGGCAAGACTCCTAGAGAGAGCTAAAGTCCCTGTGTGCATCTTGGATGTTAAAATACCTTGCTATGCCTCTGGTAGTGTCCTGTGTAAAGACAGCAAAAATATGCTTAAATCCTGTCCAAAAAAATCTAGATATTATCACTATATTTTAATGTTTAGTGCCTGGAAAATTTTAAACCATTACATGCTGATATGGTGACATGCTGTTGAATCATTTGGCTTATCTTAGTTTTTTCAGTTGTGTTTTTTTTTTTTTTTTTCTTTTGATTGCACACACAATGGACATACTGAAGACTGTGCAAAAACTCTTTGGAGTATCACAGAGTGATAATGCAGTCCAGCCTGCTGGTCAGCTGGCCTGCCAGCATGGCAGACTGTCTGCCCCTTTCCCTGCTCTGAGCATCTGTGTGACTGCACTAATCCCCAGCTGAAAGCCTGAGAGCCATTGACAGCCCTGTTCCACAGTCTGCAAATACAGTAACAGTGACTGAATCTAAAGTATGTGCTGAGACAGCTGGAGCCTTTGAAAGAATGCTCAGGGTTAGAGCCACTGGAACTTGCTACTTAACATTTATAATCTTCTCCACAGAAAGCACAAGTTCCTACAAAATCCATGGGGGAAAGCAGCACTTAAGTACATTACAGATTCACCTATGTGCCTGCTTTCCTGGTCTGGAGTTGTACTGGTAGAATTATTTTCTAACAGGTCCAGTTTTAGTCAGCCGCACCCAAGAAAGATAAATTAAAACTAGTGAAGTCAGAGAAGTTGTGGAGAATGCCTGTCACCTCTCCTTAGTTTAAGAACTACTACTTTAGGCTACAAAAAGCAAAGCTAAGGGTGCATGTGGTTTTATATCTGGGCAGGGAAAGAAAGATAAAGAGAACAACAATAAAGTGTGATGTTGATAACTGTGTACGTGACAAAAATAAGGCCAGTTCAAGAAGGAAATACATATTTTTTTATACTTAATGTATTTAGTAACCAAATAATACAAAGGTGAAAATGCAGAAAGTCAGTATTTGCTTACTGAGGACCTACCTGAGGATCGTTGGTTGACAGGTTGTACCAGATAATAGAGGCCCATGCGTTGGGCAGTTGGCTGACATTGGAAATCATCACCACAGGCAAAGAGCTGGTCTGGTGGAGAGAATGAATGCCCTGGGTAAATGCTGCTGAGGAAAGTATTAGTGCTGTGCTGTGCTTTGGGTTTTTAGCCTGTCGTTCTTCCCAAAGCACAGACTTCTTTTCCAGAAGCTCTGGAAATCTTGTGTCAACTTGTGGTTACTACTGGAGGCCTCACTGAGGGCAGGCAGCCCTGTGCTGTGGCCCTGCACAGTTGTACTTCTATAAACTGCTGGAAAACGCCTTTTTTTCCTGCCCCAGATAATCTGCCCTGAATACTCACTTCCAAGTTTATGGTCAATCCATACAGGCAGACCTGTGTCTCAAAGCTGATGGAGTGCAGCTCCTCGGTCACCATGTGAGGGCCCTGAGGGAATATTGAGGTTATGAAGCTGGGAGTACAGAGCTGGCATTTAACACTGTTTTAGTGATCCAGCTGCTGAGGTTACACTTGGAAAGAAAACTCATATCAAATATATAAGCAGAACAGGAAAAGAAGGAAGTGAAGGAAGCAATTTGTTTGTTCAACCCTGATATCAAATTAGTCCAGGAGTCTGGTATTTTTTCTGACGAATCTAAAAGAGCCCCTTAATATTGCTAAAGCAGTACTTATAAACTTTTATCTTTTTCTAATATGGTACTTTCAAACACAGATTTGCACACAAGAAGGTAACAGATAATTTTGTGTGTCCGATAAAGGTTGTCTCCAACTTTCTTTTTCCTAAAGTTTCCTTACTGATTGAAAATTCGACTTTAAACAGGGATGTTCAACTTCAAGGAGAAACAAACCGGAAACAAAGCAAATAGCCACAGCTTTAATGACAAATGGGCCTTCATCCAGGTTTGCTGTGGGTACTAGTTGAGGGACTAGAGGCCTAAATCATTAATCTGAAGTAAATCTGGTATTAAAACCTCAAGCTTTTATTGGATGGAAAAAAACTAAAATCTGCTTGTCATTGTTGATTAAAGTTTGTAGTATTAGCATTTGTTTTGATTACAAAGCAGCATAGCTCTGCAAAGATCCAAATCTCTGGCCCTTAGGAAACAGATTTCTTGAACTACATTTCCATCCCCAGAACTCAAAGTATAAAAATATATTTGCTCTTTTCCAGTGTTCTTTGTTGTTGGCCTTTCCCTCCCCATCGTGCATTTTTGTCAGACTTTTCTTTAAAAAAAATAATTAAAATTGCAAATCAAAATGCTCTCCCTTAGTGAAATATCTGTTTTCAATCAATGTAAAATAAAAGTATTTCTTGGTAGAGGACCTTGTGGCTTTATCTTTGCCACGGAGCACCTCCTCCAGGACATGTACAGGCCACTGCAACGAATGGTACTGAAGAAATGAGGAACTGGGACCACAGGAGGTCCTTAGGCATCTGAATAATAAATCTGCTTTGCAAAGGGAAAATCCAGCTTAGACCTGAAGGGTTTTACATGAAACAGCCATCAAATTAGCTCAAATGTTTTAATATAGGTTGGATCAATCCAGCTCAACCTGTACTTCTGACACAAAGTTGAAAAGGGTTGGTGAAACAACCCTTCTTCCCCCATTAAGATTTTGCAGAAGCAAATTTTTCTCATGGAAAAATCATCTAGGCAAAAAGATACATCTGCATGAAAGGAGAAATCTAAAATAGAGAACTTTCACTTTTTTCTTAATGAGGCCAGTTATATTTAACTACACTTTTAGCATACTGAACATCCTATAACAAACCAAGTTTTGGAAGCATTATCATTGCTGTTAACAAAGAAAATCCCAACTCTTCTTCTGCTAATAACCACTTTCACAGACTGACTTGACCAAGGAGAGGCTCTGTTTGAGGAAATCAGCAGTGAACCAGGTCACAGTTCACCTGTCCTAATTGTGGCCCTGTGACAGCTTTATATAGTTTTAAAGGCACAATGTGTACAAGTGGGAGGAAAGTGCTGCCAAAACTGGAGTGACAACATTTCTTAACCTACATTTTTGTATTTGCTTGTTGTGGTGTCAGTGATTTTGTAAGCAGCAAAGTAACTGGGAGGTGAGCCTTGAGTTTCAGTCTTGCTAATCGGGTGGTGAGTTGTTCTGTTCAGAAATGTGTGTGAAACAGGCACATGTATCTTCTGCTTTAGGTTTTGGTCAAATTCCTCATGCTGATCCCACCTTTTGCTTTATATTTAAAGAATACTTCAAATATCTCTTGTGCTTGTACAAAAACAGCTATTTGGGCTGTGATGTGATTTTATTTTTATATTTTTAAAAATATTTTTTTCAACTTGCTGATACAACTTTACTCAGTTATGCTGGTTTTAGTGCTATCATGCCGTACACAGAGTCACCACGAGAGGGGAACCTACGACCAGGCTGGGACAAGTGCAAGTAGATTAAACACATTTTTGGTCTTGGCTGAGGCAGCAAACCCCTGACTTCAGCAGTGAACCTGACCAGCAGAACATATATTTAAAGGACCTTTCCTGTAGGAAACAATTATTTCAACCCCAAAAACATCTTTAAGAGCTTATTTAGTTTTGGGTGTTGTTTTTTTTTTTTGTTTTGAGTTTTTTTGTTTTTTTTTTTTTTAAATGTAAATGACCAAAAAGGTAACCTTTGAGTGGAATGCACACATTTGAATTATTATTCTCTACCTTCTATTGGAACTTTTTCAATATACAGACTTCAGGCATGCAATTACAATTTGAGTCATTCCAAACAGTTCTCATTATACTAACATAATAATTGGATCCTGTGCTTTGTATATATTTCGAAATATAACAACTCTTTGATTTACATAAAATCGAATATGAAATACTTGTGAAAGTATGCAAAAACAACATGTAAAATAAATGCACAAACCTCATTTCCTTTGCTTCCAGCACTTGTTTTCATTTCTTTGGGTTGCTGTGTAAAGCAAAGCAATATTTATATGTCAGAGAAACTATAGACAGAAGTACATATAAATAACATAATTTATAACCACGATATTCTTAGTTATAATAAGATTTTATTTGCAGTATATAAATGAAGTCTAATGAAGACTCTGATACTGCACATTAAAAATTCTATTCGGTGAGGAGTCTTTTGATATTTTTAAAGACTTTTTAGGAAACTAAGTTAATGTAACAAAGCATTAATTAGAGTGCTTGCCAAGTGTATCCCACAAAAAAAAAAAAAAAAAAAAAAAAAAAAGAAGCTAAAAACCATTAATGTCAGTCTCCTTTTGCAAAACTACACTGATGCACTGCATCTGTGGTTAAGGCCCAAAATTACCACAGGCAAGAGAGTGTTAGTCAGAAAGCAGGACTCACTGGGCTCTCAGAGAAGTTCCACAAGCACTGCTCTAGTCTCTCACGAGGCTTTATCACAGGCATTAATTTCCGATAGATTTCAAGCATTCAATTCTATCTCCCCTAGAAATTGTGGTGTGGTTTTTTGTTTGTTTGTTCTGTGTGTTGGGTTTTTCTGCTTGGTTGGGTTTTTTTTTTTTTTTTTCTGTTTGGTTTGGTGTTTGGGGTTTTTTTAACCAAACTCAGTTTCTGTGAAGCTTTTTAATTCAGCATGATTACACTTTTCTTTTCTGGTGGTAATTAGGATTTGCTTTGTCATTTCTGTGAAAATATATAGTCTTATTTTATTGAATGGATGAAGTATGGAATGGCATAAAGAGGTTCTAGGAGTAATGTTTTTGTACAAATAGACAGAAAATTATTGTGGCCTTGACAGTAATACAATTCTCCCTTCAGAGTTTCTAAAGAATTTTTTATTTCTCTACGCACAACAGTAAAAAAGTGTCAAACCTACCAAATGTCGAAATTCTACTGACAAGCTCCCATTTGCAGACTCATCCATGTTCATGGCTTTCACATGTGTTCCACACAGAACAAATCTACGGTTACTGCAGAGGACATGACTGTTATCTACTCAAATACCAGTGTATTGGAAAAATTTAATAAATATGATATTTTATTGTCCTACCTTACAGTTGAAACATTCCTAAAAGAGAAGAGGGGTGGGGGAGAGGAAACAGATTGTGAATCAGTAAATGTGTAAGACAGAACTTGTACTGAGAAACGTATCTGAGATGGTAGACTTTGCCTGCTCAAAGTTGGTTTGTATTGACCCTACAACTACAATTTTTAAGCTGAAGAACTGAAATTCATACTGTCCACTTAGACTTTTGCATCTGGCCATATGTAGGTAGTGTGCTTTATCTTGCTCTTTATTATCAGACAGGACACAACTTCTGAGAGAAACAGCCCTGGCTTCTCTCTTGCTCCCTCCTCACTGGGTGTTTTCCCTCTTTCTTGTGGGCCCACATCTATGTCCATGGAGCCAAGGTGGTTTTTAGGGGCTTGCAGAAGCACAAGAAGCAGAAGGAGGGAGGTAGCTGGTACCTGGGGCTGGGGAGGTTGCATTGTGAGACCTCAGTGCTATTTCAAAATTAACTATCCCATAAATGCAATTCAGTTTGATTTCAAACTTTTGTGTAATGCTGCTGCATCAGTCTGATGACTTTTTTTCTAAGTATTGAGACAAGTTTTAAATGGACTTCTTGCCTCTAATTTGAAACCATCAGTTAGACTTAGCAGCTTTGTTTTTAAAAAAGAAGACTTCCACATAAAAAAGAAGTGTTACTCTGATCTTTTAACTGGTGGGTTTTTAAAGTTTTTCTTTTCCTTTTGTTTTAAAAGCAGTTTAAAAATCAGATAGGATAGCCACTGAAAAAACCTGTGTTGTCTCTGTAGGGAGTAAGAGAATATCTTCACTTTTAAGTTTCTTACTTGTCAATAGTTGCTTTCACTCTGATCTGGTAGTTCAGCTCTGGCAATTTAATTAGCAACCTTCAAAACAGAAAATGAGAGAGTGGGTATTAAAAAACGTCTCACCAGAAAACACTAGACTGGTTATTATGTTATAATTATTATAATCTGACAACAGATTAGGCATCTAGGATTACAACACAATTTACAGGGTTGAATTCTCAGAAAGAGGAGCTGGGTTGTTCCAGTGGTAGGTGCCCTACCCTCCAAGTGTGTGGAAAACAGCATGTGTTTGAGGGAGTGGCTGGAGTGACACAAAGTAATTAGGAAATGGATTTGTATAATCTCTGCATCACAGAAGTGTATGTGCTTTCCTTCATGTCCCTCTTCTCACCGCCCAGCCCGCCGTGAACTTCGTGCTGCAAGGTGGAAATGAAATGAGAGTTCCTCTCTAACCTTTGCTCTTTCCCAAAGTCAGGGAAGGAGCTTCTAGGAAAGAAATAATATGTCTGTGATTCACCCAAGACCCCCCAAATGCAGCAGTTTCTCTTTCCTCTGTGCAGAAATGGCTCTCAGTATTCAGACTTTGGCTTGTATGATAAGGATCATTATTTATGCAGTTTGTAAAGTCATTGCAACAAGAATTCAATGCATACAGAACTCTGGAGGTGATGCCTTTAGCCACAATGTGCTTTTCTTCCTTGTGTTTTACTCTTTATTGCCACTTGTTCTGCATGACAGATTCTGTGATAACACCATTCCAGAAAATTTCCCTGCAATTGAATGGATCCCTAACTCAGGTTGGCCTGCTTTGCTTTCTAGATTCTCCTAGGATAAAATACTGTACATGAATGAAGGAGTTTATATCAGATTTTTTCCTTTACCTTAATTTAACAGTGAACTGTATTAAAGTTTTGAGAACCATTGGCCTCTGGGGGTGTGTTGGCATGCAGGGCTGCCTTTCAACCACAAAGGAGCTGTGTGAAAAGAAATGAAACAAACAGATTTTTAGGAATATGTATGAACAAACAGATGGGGTTTTTTGAGGGGGAGGGAGGAAGGGAAAAGGGCTGGTATCTCTTAAAGACTTATTTCTCTGTAGATGCTGAAGTGGGAGCTGTGCATTCCAACTCTCAGTTCTCAAACTGGTCCAGTGGTCTAACTTTCCCTGAAATTGCTCCCATAAAAAACAGATATTTGAAAGACACTGAAAATGATACCAAATTCTATAGTTCTAAAATACAATGATGATAAAAGTCTTGGTCTTCCAACATTTTATCAGAGCCATAAAACAGAGTATGAAAATACACTGAGCATGGCTCCAATGAAATTAAATTATAATAATTAAACTGTCATTTTAATTTTTATATATAGAGAGAGCAAACAATTGAGCCCACTTTCCTTTCAGAGACTCACTTGTGGTATATCTCTAGTATAGTCTGTACAAAAGGCAAGAGAAATTATGCTAATATTTTATCTACTAATAGAAAAGTGAGTTGAGAGGGCAGCAGGTAGCATAGCTTGGGGGAGACAGAGGAAAGAAAAGGAACATTTACTTTAAAAAAGAAAGGCAAAATCATAAACACAAAACCTCACAACTTTTCTCAGCAGAATGTACATAACTCCTCCTAGAATAAGGGGATTTCTGGCATTCATTTGAGAGTCAGAACTTGATGACAAACCCTTAAATGCTACCCATGAGAAGCTGCCTGGAACCTACAGCTTCTATGATGACAGCTCTACATACTTCTTGTGTTAGGAACCGGGTCCGTAAAATCCTCAGACATTCAAACTTTTTTCCCCCCTTGTTCTTAACAGTGAGCTCTCATTGTTGTACCCGTTGAGGTGAAGTTCTGCACTTTGGCAGTGGCTTACGCACTTCCGGAAAAGGTTGTAGAGCAGAAAGTTGACTTTTTCCAGCAGCTGAGGTCTTTGCACAGGAATAGGGTCCCCATCATAAGTCAGCCTGGTCAGGAGTTCATCCAGCTTTTCTAGTTGCCTTCTGACTTGAAAGAGACTTTCTGCCAACAGTGTAAAGCTACAGCAAGAGAAAGGAATCAGTTTGCAATCTTTCTTGTAAACCGTTTCTTGGAACACAAGAACTACTGAAGTTCTTGCTTGGGGAAAATCAGAATCTCTATTGAATGGTTCTTTCCAGCTTTGCCCAAACTCACATCCATTCATCTTTTGTTTACAGGAGTATATAAATACCTGGGCAATCACCTTCCTTTATCTTCAAAGATAAATATTTTCACAACAGTGCAACACCATCTGTGATAATTTGGAAGAAATATATGTATGGTCCTGATGTTGTACATGCAGGGCACTTGTGCCAACATTAATTATTTCCTACAGCTCAGGAGTTTTGCAAAACTTTTGTACTTTTTAAAAGGATAATATTTATATAGAATGAGCAAGCTAACAAGACTAAAGAAATGTAAAAGCGATAAGGAGAAAGAAATCCAAACACACCTGATAACAGTTCAGTAGGGTATGTGCATATAAAATTAGATTTTAAAGCTATTTTTAGCATGTTCGTTGGGAAAAAAAAAAATACTCCATTAAAAAAAATAAACCTACACAGAAAAAAAAAGCAAAAAAGCCACTTTTTTTTTAGTTTTAAAATTTTCTTGATAATTTTACCTTTCTTTTTAATTCTTTCCTTTTACTTCACCTTTTCCATATGAGAGTTTTGATAGGAGAGTAATGACCATGATGTTGTATTGACATTGTCTGGCTATGCTGTCTTTTAAATATAAAGCTATTTTCTTTTTATTTGCAATCACTTCAGAGTTGCCACCACAGAGACTACTGCCATTCAATCCCTACACTGTGTGAAGTTTGGAGGAGTGAGTCAAAGCATAAAGCCTCTACCCAGCTCCTGCCTAGACACAACTCCCACAGCCTTCAATGACAAACTCAGTCAGCACCATTCTTACTCAAGCAAAACTCCCAAGAGGGTATGTCTCATTTATCTGCAGGATACAACCCCAAAAATTAGTGATTACCACGAGTCAGGCTAGTGTTCATTCTGAATAACGAATGTTGCTTTTAGTTAGCACCTTTTAGTTATTTACTCTCCTAGCTGCTGGTGAATTTGCTGCTGTTGCAGCTGATCTAAAGGAATGATCATTTCAAGTGCAGCAGACTTCCTGTGGTTTTCAGTGGAAGCATGAGGTCAGGGCAGGTTTACCAGTTCTGGAGCTGATCGAGCCCCCCGTGGAGGGGCCCCCCGATGCAGGCGATCTGCTGCCGTCTCTTCCAGTCCAGCAGCTCCTCGGTCAGCATGTTGCTCATCAGCATATCGATCTCATGGATCACACGCCCTATTTTACTGAGCACTTCCTGGAAAGTAGGAAAGGTCTCACTAAGTGACCACAGGCAACAGCTGCAGAATTCACCAACTATCATGAAGCGCTTACTACGTTTATTTTCAATTATTCTGAAAGTAACCATGTTTAGTTCCTATTGCTTCAGTGACAGGATTCATCACTCATTGTATATTAATCCTGAATCCCTGTGAACTCTTCAGTAATTTATTTTTTTTGGGATGGTAGGAGGGAAGAGTGTTGCATTCTTTGTGGGTATAATGTCTCCAAGGTTTTGACACTTGCAAGCTCTGTCAAGTTCAAAAAGTTCTGCTTTTGTTTTGCATCATATAAAATGTATTGTGTTTTTGTTTGCTTGATTTAATCATAACCGTGCCCTCATGAACTCAAATTGCTTCACTCTTAAGATGTGCAGAACCATATCCTTGACTGAGCTGTTACTTAATTGCCAATTTCTTAACTTCTAGTTAAAATCACCCAGACCCATCCAAACAATTTTGCAAATTTTTAACTCCTGTGAAATGAGTCTGTTCTTCTCAGATGAGAATTTAGAAGGCACACATACGCATTTGAGTATTTGGTGTGAGAATAAGGGGAGAAAGCGGATTAACCACAAATGACAAAACATTGTCACTAACCTTTCTCTTGTAGTCTAAAGTATTGAGCATCGCCTGCAACGCCAACATTTCCTGTTTAATGAGGGCACTGTTTTTGTCATTCTGCTCTACATGGGATAAAAAAGATCAGTATAAATACATGTGTGGGTGTGTATGCCTGTTCATAAGGGGAGAAGAGGAAAAAAAAACCTGCTACCAGACTGCAGCAAGAACTAGTGAAAAAATAAACTATAAACATCAGTAGATTATGTAACAGCATATTTAATTTGGAAGGATTAGCTTTAGTGAGAGTTTAACATAAGATTTTATGGATCATATCTGTAGATATGTGTGTGGGGCAGGAAAAGGCAGAAAACATAGATGATACCCAGAGAGTTGTCTAAATTTCTCATCCCTGTGTATTATGTACATCTGGCTTGGATCAGTGATTGATCTGTACACACAAACAGCTCGTGGTGTCAGCAGTTAGACTAAAGCTCTTTGGACTTGATGTGAATTAAAATGCCTGGCTGGGAGGCATTTGAAACAGAGATGAAGTGCTCATCACCAGGGGAATTTCAGCAGCCAGGAGCACTGATCACTGGGCATTTCCCCCCTCTGTCTAACGTTTGTCCTTCTCTGGATCAGGCACTACTTTCAGGAGTCCCCAGGCTCACCCATGCTCTTTCACATGCAGCTCTTTCCCACCCTCACTTTCCCCAACCTTTTGCATCTTTCATGCTACATCCCAAAAAGAAATTGGTGCCAACTGTGTGCCTGCTAAGCTCTGGATGGATGCCTTCCTATTGAGTTAGGGTAGAAGTTTCAGTAGAGGCAGATGAGTAACCAGCACCACCTCAGCCACAGCAATTGCTCCCACACACTCTAAGCTGGTTGTGCTGGAGCAGAGCAGTGAAATTTTAAGCCCTGAAAGTAATTTATTGTCAGCATGTTTTCTTTTGGAAGTGAGGGAGCTTTCAGGTATCTGTGTGGTCAGTAATCATTATTGACTTGATGATTAGAAACTTATTAAACTACGGCAACTCTTCTGATTGCTGGGTCATATCCAGCCTTCAACATTTAGGATTGATGTGCTTAAGGACTTGGATGTTTCAAGCCCAGTATCTTTGCATGTTCAAAGGAAGGTAATATAAAGATATCTGAGCAGACACAAGCAGACCCCAGTTTCTTTTCTGAAAGAGACCATGCAAGGACTGTTGCACATGCAGATCTCAGCCATCACAGGCTGGTCAAACATGCATTCAGAGTGCTTACCAGCTGGTTATCACCACTGTGGTCAAAAAAGAACAGAAAGCCAAGTTAAAGACGAGAAAAATCAGTTCTGCACGACTCTGGGAAATAAGAGTCTCTCCCAAATCCTCCCAAAGTAGGGCCATGTAAAAGGTGGGGATATTGAAAAATAGGTTCTTTAAATTAAGAAATGTACTACTTTATGTGCCATTGGGCAGCTTATCCATAGGAAATAACTATACTTTCTTAACATGATCCTCTTTACTCTCTTAACCCCAAAAGAGTCATTATGTTCCAGGACTAAAATTTTGTATAAACCAAAGATCCATTTTTATGTTTACATATATTAATCAAGTAATGCACAAAACCCCCTGATGCTGGAGTCTAGCTGCAGAATCAGCCATTTCCTAGGAAATCTAAAAATTAGTATAAAAACTCTTACCTAAGCTCTGTATTGTTTTATACCTGAAGTCAAATTCCTCTTGCAAGTCTTCCAAGTATTTCACATCTTGGTCAGTCATCTTTCCCAGGAAAGAAATTAACAAATGCATAATGTAGTATTTTCCTTTCTTACCATTTGAAAACCCCTGAACAGTTCTGGGAACCCTTGTTTACTGTCTTGTAAACTTTATAATGTATGATTGAATAATAAATTTATAGCTACAGACTTATTTTACTTGTTCAGAAGGTCAATTATCCTCTATCCTGCATTTGATAGTGGTTGATTCAGCTTTATCCCTTCTTGTTTACTAGTGCAATGACATAAAAGAAACTAGGAACAATTGTCTTAGCCTGAGCTAAACTGAAATTGTTATGCCAATAATGCTACATTCTTCTTGAAACTTTAAAGCAGGGCAAAGGGATAATTTTACATTTACTTAAATGGAAATTTAATTGGGGTGTGCAGAGCCAAAAAAGGTGGAATCAGACACAGGAGTAGAGCTCACAGAATTTATTTACAAAATGTCTTATGAATTTAGATAAAGAAATGAAACCTTTTTGCTGCTTTGGCATTTTGCAGCTTTCTTTTCATAAGTGCTATAAAAATATTAAAGATATTTTCTAGTAACCAATCAATGATAATTCAAAACACCCCATCAAAAGAAGGAAAATAAAACTGTAGGAAATTATCTGCTGTACTTTGAAGGTCTATTTCTGTGCTGTTTATAGGAAGCCTTGATTTTGCCAACAACTCATAAACAAGCTTTTTTGGTTTCCTAAGATGTGCACATTAAGAGTCTGTGAAAATACAGAAACTTGTTTGCTAAATGAGCCCACACACAATTAGCCGTTTTAGCTTACTCTTTATTTTGGAGACTAAAGTTTTAAATTATATGTGTAAAGTATGAAATTACATGCACGAGGAGCTGGCTAATTTCTGCGTTCAACTTAATTACCTGCTAAAAATCCCAACCCTGCTATCTAGAAAATGTTCTCATTTTCACTGGTCCTTCAGGGGTGGCTGTGCTTCTCCACACAGGCAGGAGGAGCAGATTGACAGGCTGCTGCTTTGCTCTGCAACTCTTATCTTACAACTTTATGTCTAGATAGAGACCTGGTATGACATTCTTCTGAAACTACTTTATCCTTCTAAGGGTTTGATCTCTCTAACCCTTCTTCTGTGTGAAAGGATACACTGATGAGAGAATGCTGCTAGGATCTCTTTCCAGTATACCAGAAGTGCTACTCTTGAACAACATATGGACAGGTATTTCAAATATAGTTTCTACCTTGAGACTGCTGCAAATCTGAAAGTGGGGCTGGGATAGCAAAAAAGCCATGGGTATTCTGATCCTTATCCTGCCTTGAACTGAATGGGCAGCTGTTCTCTGAGCTTTCAAGGTCTCTGGGACATAGCTACAGGTTTGGTTCAGCCCAGCTCTGGCCTGCAATGGCATGAGAAGCTCCTGGAGAGTGGTTACCATCAGCTGCCAGTGTTCTTGTCCCCTCATGACTCCAAACCATGTAATTAAGTCACGTAGCCTTCGGCTCGACAAAGGTCTCGGTACATGACTCAGAGGTTGTGAAGGTTTAGCTACTGCTGACCCAGCTGGAGGAGGTGAAATTGCAAAAATACATTTTCTGAGCCTCGCATCTTTTTAGAGACTGTAGCTATACTCTTACTGCACTCAGTGGTCTGCCTGCAACTTCCCTAGGGATGAGTGTGACAGCTTTAAAAGAGGGAGCTCTGACACTGAACCCTGACAGCTGCTAACACCTGAGAATCCAGGTGTGTCCTGAGCTGTCAGTCTGGGCAGATGTCCTTGGAATAATGGAAAATGGATAGTTGTGTCTGTTGGCAGAAGTCATTGTGCTACCCAGCTTAAAGATAGTTTAGGTGTGTCTGTATGAAAATCACATGGGCAGACAAAAAGGGTACCTGAGCGCTGTTCTTGATTGCTGATACTTTGTGTTCTACATTTCTTTGGCGTTCTGAAACCACAGAGCTCTGTAGAGACTTTTCCAGTGGCCCCTGGAACACATTGAACAGATAAATCGTGGGTGAGTGATATTAATAATAATAGGTGATAGAAAATGTACTGCAAGTTCCAGCACAGAGAGGGAATTCCAAAGCCAGTGTTCAACCATCTGGAGACTGCTGTAAACACACAGGCAAGTTTAGCTCTACACATTTGAAAAACATGCAGCTTTAACTTTGAGATCCAAGAGATTAAAAGGTGTGGGTGTACTACAGGCATTAAACATCTAGGAAATGAAATATAGATTATTAGATTTTTTTAAAAAGATCCATGGCATAAGTCTGATATAGGAATACATATTACATCCATAAGTGATTAAGAAGGACACATTTGTCTTAAAAATTCTCTCTGGGTTTTAATCATGTAACAATTTTCCCAAAATAAGTTTCATGTGTAATTTGAATTTTTTTTCTCCAAACACAAAAATCATCAATAACTCTATAAATCATCCAGCTCTATTGGATGGAATGTCTTCTGCATTCCATAGTTAATATGAATTAATGCATTGCATAATTTAAAATACACACATCTGTTTTGTAAAGAATAATCTCTTTAAAACCTTTCCTACAGATTAAAGTCTTTGAAGATTAGCTGTGACATGGAAGTCCCTCATAGCAATGTTTTCAGCAGAAGAGCCACTAATGAAGTTCAAATGTGAGTTTAAAGGGCAACATTTGGCAACCCTAGTGCACACAAATCACTTCACTGGAATGAGGGGCCAGGATTTGGTCTGAAAAGCACGTGAGCAGATTAACATGGAGCAGATTAATGAAATGTAATTCATTACCTGTACAGGCATGCTGGCTGCAGCCAATATTCTTCTTTCTTCTCTTAAGCAGTTTGAGATGATCACTGCTATATGCATGGGATTACCATGATATTTACCCTGCAAGCACAAGTAAATACAACTCAAAAAAATTCCAGAATTCAGGATGTCCCTCTGGAAATCACAAGCAACATGATGTATGAGTGTCTATAAGGTACAGATTAGTGTGGGTGGAAAAGGCTCCCCTTTTCATGTGCTGGTTCAGCCTTTCAGGGCAGCATCAGTTAGTGCCACCGTCATAAAATATTCTGAACAGTGTTCCACGGAGATTATAAAGATACAATTCCGAGATGTACATGATTTGTAGATCAAATTGCTCCCCTGCTAACACAGCTGTTTTGAAAGGGCTTTCCTGTCAGCCTATTCTGGGCACGATTTTATCACGTCTTCGATTTTCAATAGGATGTTGCTGCTTAGCATGTAGCACTTCTGCCAACAAAAAAGTTTGTAAGCATATCAATATGGTAATGATGCAAGCAGGAAAGCTTCCTCAGCATAAAGCAGAAGGCTTAAATTTTAATGTCTATGAACAATTTTTCTCTTTCAAAAAATAATGTGCCTGAGAAAAAGGAATAAGTAATTTTTGTCCCAAGGTAAAGAATGAAAAAAAAAATCTATATTTTTATACCACCATAAATAAAGTGCTGAATTGCTGATGTGTGACTGAGGACTGGGCACAATTTGAACTAATATTGGTTTATGCTGTATTTATAAAATTGAAATGATCCAGGACTCTCAAGCAGCTTCTTTATGGTGATATATTCATTCAGTGTTTCTCAGTATCCTTCAGCCTTTCATTCAGTATCATTCATTCAGATACCCTTCATTCAGTGCTTGTAGTGTTAGTCCATTCATCAGGGTTAATCTATTTAATTTCTTTTCCTGTACAGTTTTCAGTTCTGGACTTACTGTATTTTCTCCTCTTTATCATAGTCTTTATTTTCATCATATCTCCCTGCCACTCAGAACCTCTTTTATTCTAGCTGTCTCTGAATTTGGCACAATAAGTTCATACAAACTTTAATTAATGCCATATTTTCCTTTGATATCTCATACCAATTGTTATGTTAGACACAAGGGTGTGAATGCATCTGACAGAAATGTGAACACATTGCTTCTGTATGCAACAAGTACTGTGGCATTAAACATACCTTTCTAATGCTTTTCACTAAACATTTCCTGTGAGCTCATGCATGAAATGTGTAATTTGAAATATGTTTTGACTTCAATTGCAAAGTGAACAAATACCATATTAAAAATGTTAATTTTGATCATGGCAACTTGGTTTGAGTTGCTTGGTATTAAATACCATGTGTACTGTGGTTCCAGGTATGGACTAAGGTGAAAGATACAGGACTCTTAAAACTAAAAAAACAAGGTACCAAATGTTCCCTTCCAAGAAAGCTTTGACTGCCCTCTCATTGTTAGCAATGAAATGAAACTTTGTTTCTATGGTTTCTGAAATCTTTTCAGGACAGGAAAGGTACATGCCCCACAGTGCAACCACTACACACCCAGAGCAGCCCGAGTGCTGTGCCTCCTTTGATCTCCTTAAAAGCAGTTCAGGATGGTACTTTGCTCCAGCAACCATCTGTATCTGAGGAGCAGGAGTTATGAACCTGACTGGTTTTAGGAGCTTCTCTATAAACAAGAAATTATGAGTAATACTACCCAGGACACACTATGTCTCAGATGAAACACCAAGCACTCCCTCCCTGCTTGCTCCTTCCTGGGCAGTGGGAGGAGACTTGATTAAGGACACACTGCTGATTTCCTTGTCAAATAACAGTGCCAAAGATCTGTCACTACATATTTCTCTCTGGCAGCTCCATTACTGTAAGGACATTTCCTTCAACACCACTGCACTTCAGGTCCAGTAATATATTCACAGTCCCCTTTATTGGGCATATTTCCAAGCTCTCTCTCTCTGTAGTGTCAGGATGTAGCTTTGGGAAGGGAATAGAGCATGTGGGAAATGGCTGTGATCCTCCTGCAGAGGGTTGAGTGGGGTGTCATGTGGATCTGAGGTCCAACAGCAGCAGCCAGGGCAAATTAACTGCAGCAAAGAGGGGCTGTGCTCCTGGCTGTGCTCCAGCCCAGTGTCTGACACCTTAAGGATCCAATCCAGGCTGCTAACTGGGGTGGAAATGATTCCTGCTTTTTTTACTGACTGGGTTTTCTGCTCCTTGGTGGACTGAAACTGCTCAGCAAAGGATCAGTTTATTATTATGAAGGATGAGCACAGGTGAAGTTGGGAGAGGGGGGAACAGTCCTGCCTTGCTTCAGCTGTTATGGCTAAGCCTGCTCATCCATCTGTACCTTGATTAGAGAGGGAAAAGTCCTGTTACTAATAAGGTTTAGGATGAAAGCTGTGGGGAGAAATCTGCCACTGCTGTAAGTCCACTGATGGGCATATTAATTCCTCTGTTAATGTCTGCTTCTGGCTGTTACTTTTTGGTAGTAAAACAGGGTTTCGCCTTCCCTCTAGATGGCCAGTAAGTGTTCATGCCATGCATTGGTACCTGAAGCTACAGAGCCTGAGGCTTTGTAGCTTACCTTTGAGGCTGACCTTAGTCCTGGCTTACCACTGCCCAACAGAATTCCAGAACTGCAAGGGTGTAAAGGGGTCCAAAAAAAGCTATTTAACCAAGTCAAGAAGAAATAAATATCCTCTCTTGGAGCTGGAAAAATGCATTTATGTAGAAAAGTCTCTTAAAAAAAAAATTTGACAGTGGGATGTGTTAAAATTCCCCACAGAGGATGCCGGTTATTAGGGACTTCCCTAGCGTTTCTAGACACGATTCATATGCAAAACTTTCAAAAACACTTTCTTCCTCTCCTTTTCTTTGTTTCATTAAGAAAAAAACAGCTGAACCAAGAGATGCAGTGGAAATTCACTTTCCTCCCTCTCTTTCTTTCTTCTCTAATTCATAAATCTGTAGAAACAAGCTGGGTCCATAGTGATTCCCATATTTATGTCAGGCTGGTGCTTCTTCAACTTGATTCAGTTTGAGTAGATGCCAAGAAGGTCAACAGAGAGCTGCCACCTGTGCTCCTGGAGCAGCCCCTTTTGCAGTAAGAGAGCAGATGGATTGCAACTCATCAGTGATAAATGAATTGTAACACTAAATATCTCAATAATTGCAACTTATTGAATAACGATAGCTACTAAAAGTCACAATAACTGTGTTTTTGACTCTGGAAAAATAATAACATTAAAAAAATTCTGCCTGTGTTTTATACTTCTCAGCTGTAATTACACTTTGGAATGCACTATTGGTATTCCCTTATGATTCATCTACTTCCAGCTCTTGTTGCTCTGCACTTCCACTTTGTCTTTGGCTGAGGGCAGAAATTGCCCAACATGACCTTGATTTCTGAATGACTAATTGAAAACTATCTCCTATAAGCAAAGAGTAGTATAAATTGGAAAATTAAGGAACTTTAACCAAAAATGGCTTGAGATGGGAAAATCCTAACTCAGTGACATGAACACTAGCAGCCAGAAGAGGAAGAAGAGTGTGGATTCTTTAGATATGCAAAATTGTATTAATAAGTTTAAACATGTAAGGAGAAAATTTATATTTGTATTTTGACAAATACCAACACAGAGAAATTGAAGATTCACTTTTCTTCTTTCAAATCAAAATATCTGCTAATATTACTGTAATTTTGTTGTTCTTAGAAGTTTTCTTTCTCCTCTCTTCTGTTCCAGTGAGGTCTTTCCATGCCATGAGTTACAACAAACAACAAATTATCTTATTTGGACTGGACTCTTCTCAAGAACTACCAGCATGATGCTAAATTTAAGCAAACAGGGGGAACTTGAACTTTCATTCTGAACAGGTGACAATTTTCTGAGAATGCTGATGACATTTTCTTGGAGAAAACCTTCCTACTGCCACCCGGCATGCACTCTTTCCACTCCAGGGACATCTGTTGTGACAGTATCTTACTAGATCATGGAGAAAAACAGAGAGGTATTTCTGCAAAAACAGTTTGTACATTATAGCATGCAGAGTTTATGCCCTTTAGCCAAATTTTAAAACAGCTTGAACTCTTTGGAGTATGTTAAAGGTGCAGGAAACAGTGGCTGGGGAAATGCAAGGTTAGATTCTGTAAGCTGCAAGGTCATGGATAAACTTTAAAATACATATTATGGCATTTTAAAATACATGTACTTTCAAAAAGAACATCAAACAAATGTAAGTTTTAGTCTCTGCTTGCTCTAACAGAAAGGAAGAAATCTAGACCAGAGTCATTCTCTTACTCTTCTTTTCTTCCCATTTTTAAAATGTCAATATTTTAGCTGATTTTCCTGTGGGCAGCTCCATCATAAAGTGGATCCCCAGCCACACTAACACTGACTGCTGTCCTTCTGTCAATGGGCTCTGTACACTGTACACACCTATCAGTGAATACTGGATGTGCACTGCGTGAGCAACTGGCTCTGTTTTCAGTGGTGAAAGCAGGGGATTAGGTGTTAGTTGGTCTCAACTTGTAATGTAGAAGGATGGGCTATGAAACCCTTAGAAAGTCAGTCAGGGGTTTGCCTGATTATCTCTGTATTTTCAAGGTGACCTAAAAATGGACTCGAGTAGGTTTTGGTGCTTTCCAGTTCTGAAAATTGCTTCAGAATTTGGTCAGGTTTTTTCTTCTTTTCCCCTTTTTCTTTTCTTTATTTTTCTATTTTTTTTTTTTAACTCTGAAACCATCAGCTGTTTTTATTCTCATTTCTGCTAGTAAAAGCCCTTCTTGAGCTTCTTAATTGTATACAATAGGAGCTTTACTTGGAGGGGTGGAAGGGTTATTTAGTATGACCATTGAAGTGTTTGTTCATACTGAATGAATATTTAAAGAAGCTGATGGAAGGGAGGAGAAATAGGAAACAGCAAGACAAAGTCAAGCACAAATACATTTCCTTCCCTATTGCTTACTTCTGATATGATTATTTTACAAAGTTGGGTACTCAGCATCTTTCTGGATAAGCAAATATCTCATCTTTCATAAAATCAAAAACAGGGAGAAAAACCCCTTTTGTCTATCATTTTATTTTTTAA